TAGAGACAATGGCACATCTTGCCTGAAATTGGACGAAAGTGAACGCTTGCCAAGGTGTGAATCTGTCCTTGATGTGTTGCCTCTTATGAAACATTGGGGTCATGTGTAAAGGTTATGTCCATCCAGTACTGCAGCAGCGGGTAAGTTTGGCCCCATTTATAGGTCTTTACATTTGTATCCAACTCTATATATCTACATGCATATAGCCTGCTGCAATGCAGTTCTACAGAAAGTATATCCCGTGCGGAAAACAAACTTGCGGCCCTTTTCACCAGTAGCATAAATGTGGGGTTTTGTGGAACGTGTGTGAGAAGGTCTCAAATCACGGCAGACCTGTAATGGTCATCTAACACCTGGCTTTAATGAAGGCACTTCCATTTTGCCATTAGTAGGAAATTGGCAAATTCCGTAATTGGACTTAAATTGGGTGAAGGGTGAGGTTAATATTTTTTTTCCGGTGATTGGTGTTCCCGTTTATTTAAAAAAAAAATACGGCCAGTCAATTTCAATCCGCTAGCTCAGCCAGAGGAATAGATACATAGACACATTGTATACGTCGGCTTTCACAACCAATATTGTGATTCGTAATCAGTTTTTTGGGCAAGATCGTATATGCATAATGTCAAACTGGAATGTTTAAAAACAAGCACAGTTTTTACAAATGTATACGCATTTTTCTGAAAATCCAAATAAATGTTCATATTTACCCACAGGACAACTATATTTAAATCCGTGGTGGAGAGTTATAGTTAAAATAAAACGAAATTATACCTACGAGACGATCTAACCCAAAATAAACTAATCATGAATCAGATAAATATGCAATTTTTGTCAAAACAAAAGAACGAGTTCGAGGTAGGGACACATTCGTTTTATGTTATCACCAAATTTAGGCTGCCTTTCCAGTCCATTGCTATCGTCACTTGATCATCTTGTCACTGAGGGCAGCAAGGCTCCTCGTATGACCGAGATGATGGATTGCTGGCACGGTGGCACACCCGGGCATGTCTTGTCGCAGTCTCACTCAAGCCAAAGAGAAACCAAAGTTATTTCGTCTTCACCTATTTGTCTCGGTGAAACCATAGTCACGATGTAAAACTCTTGAGAGATACGTGTGACACTGACACAGTTATATGAATCGATGTCATACACAGCACTTCAAGTGCCACTCAAATGGCTGCGTGGTAACGGTCCGATGACATAATGTGTCGTGAAGTGCTTTTTTATAACGAGATTCTGTCGCAGTGTTGTATCTGCACATTGCTTAAATCTTGACTTAAAGCTTTCGTGACTGCAGGAATTCATATTCTTTGGGTCTTTCTTTAAAGTCACGTGGATAGGTTCAAAGAAAAGAACAAAAAGCAACGACGTTTCGATCGCAACATTTCCATCACCATCTACACATTGTAAAATACGACTACTATTATTGATAACCAGGTATTGCCAACTAAGCTATTAGCTCTTGTTCAGATGTGGCCTGGCCACACATGATAGCCAATTGAAGTGGCTTATATAAAATCACATGTGGGAATTTATAGCAGGCAAATGATCTAAAGACGCTTCATGATGGCAATAATCACACACGTACGCATGCGTTTGATCCACTTGAGAAGAAGCGCACGTTATTCAAATCTTTTGCAATGACTTTGCAGGGCGTGGGGGATATAGTGGCGTGAACTGGTTGCACCGGATGGGCCTGCGACCGGCACCACGCGGAAGGTGGTGGCTCTGTGATTTGTGAACCCTGCAGTACTTTTGTTCTTCTCTTGGTCTTCACGGTGCTCTCCCATTGGCGGTTCTGGCTTTGAGTTTTCCATTTTGTCATTTCACCGTGCGATTAAAAGTCATTACTTTGACTCCCCAGAAAAATAGCTCTTTTGCTGTAATTTTTTTTTTATCCTATCATTTGAAAGTGCACTTCAACTCAGATTCTTAAAGATACGTTTGTGAAATAAGTGATACTGTAATATTAAGTGCTGTATATGCAGAAGTAATACATACATAATGTGTAACATCCATAAACATTTTAATGTAACATTTCCCACACAATGTATATGTGTTCGCTGTTGGGAGTTGTTCTGCGCGGTTTAATTTGTGCATGGATGGAGTGTAAAAAAAAAAAAGTTCCCATGCCTGACCCCAACATGTTGTTGGCAACATGTTGGGGAGCAGTAACTTACTGTACCTTGGTGAACTTTGTTATTCATTCAACAATTTGGTGCTGATGTAGGAACGCGCGGGGGCTTTGAGAGGGGACAAACCTTGCTTAACGATCGCTTTACTCTCGATGTAGAGGAGGCAGCGAGGGTGGTGATTGATGCAGGAGCCGATAGGCAAAAACCCAACTGAAAACAAAGTGGATTTTCGTTTCAAAGGCCTGGAGAATTTGAAATTTTTGTGGTTTTAGGGGCATATTGAATACCGAGCTGCTGTCTCTGCCTTTGCACGGCAAATAGCCATGCATCTAACGTGAGTTATACAACATAACATTTTTTTTTTAGGAAAGCACACAACTTTGCAGGCTGACAATGGCACAATCCTGTGGCCAAGTTGACGCTCCATTGCCTTACAAATGGATGTGTTTTTAAAGGCAATAAAAATGGTGCTTGCTCTGTTGTAATGTCAATCAGCAATGTTGCGTGGGGAATGGCAATCTCTTGAGAAACGCCACGGAGTTTTTTCGTACGGCTTTTACCAGAAAAGAAGATAAAGCACATGGTGAGTAACGTAATAGGGCAAATGTATTTGTATTATTGGGTGGGTCCCGTTTTAAACATGAATGAGAAAAGTGTCTAGTTTGTAGTTTTCCGTGTGACAGCTGCCTGGTGGAGGAACGAATTCTCATTTTCTCATGGTTAAAATGCACTCCATCTGCTAACGAGATCAGACTAAGATTTGTCCCATTTACAATACCAAAAAACAATTCCCAGACCGTTCAGGAAGTCCTTGCAAATGTTGTAATTGCGATAAATTGCAAGTCGCCTAATCATTTTAAATACGAAAATAAGCAATGATGGGATAGGAGGAAGAGGAAACACGTTTGCTCCTCCGATCCGTATGGATTGCTATACGATGCAAAGTTGCACTGAAACATGTGTGATCCATAAGAGCCAGAGCGAAAAAAGGATGTCTCTTAACTGGCGCCAGTTGAAACAGCAATCTACCGTTATTCAGCACATCCTAAGGATACACAATAGCGAGCATTAAATGACACTGGAGTAGTGGATTAGCGCAAGACGGCTATATAAGTTAGACAAAAGAATGCACACGATTGGAATGGACTTTAGCAGGTTTTCAGATTCAATTACTTGCATTCCACATGCACTTACTGAGAGTAGGCAAGCTCTTCATAGTGATTCTCTTATTTTTTTGGGTGTATGGTGACTGACCTATCTACGTTTAATTTAATTGTTGTCATCTGCACTGCTGTCATTAGATTGTTTTCGTTATATTTTTTTTCACGTGTATATGACATTATCATCTGGCACGACTCAATAAAGATCCACAAATAAAATGTTTACAGGCGTACATTTCCATTTAATAAGCGACGGGGTCAAGAGTGAGGTCAAGAGTTATTGTTCTACTCCATCACAACTTCGGATGGTAACGACTGGAGCGTTTGCGCGATTTCTCTCGTAGTTCAAGCCCAAGAGAGAATTGTTGGCAGCTTCTTGGCAGCCCCAACTGCGTGTGCTTTCGGATGTCCCAAAGCGGCCTCGGTGTGTGGCATCGGATTTCCACTCTCCTCCCCATGGCATCTCATTCTTGACCTTTCCCTGTCTTTGGGCTATTAGTGCGTCAGCATGGCTGGATGACGGTGCTGTAAGACTGACACGGATCCAGCAACGACAACAAAAAAGTATTTCACGGCTCATTATTGAAATGTTCACAGTTTATTTGAAAAGTCGTTTCGTTTTTGGACGTTTATATTTCTTGAAGTTTTTTTTTTGTGGGGGTGGTTGAAGGGGGGTGGGGTTAAGGCCAACCTTAAATAAACAAAAAAACCATTAGCATTCTTCATTTTAATAACAGACCATTTATATTTCAGCAAGACAATTGTGGTTGGGTCTTTAACTATATGGATGGTATTGTGAAGCCATCCTCTGCCTATTCATCTGTGACCTGTTGTTTCCAGGATTAGTGTTTTTTCTTGAATGCTACCCCTCCCCCCCAATGTGGGGTTTGACCTGGAAATGAATGCTTACGATCGGTTTATTTAAAAGGAACGTTGGCAAACAAACAGCTTCTGAAATCAAAGGGCTGACTGCACGGGAGCATTTTAAAACACTGCAGACATTCCGAAGCAAGCAGGACCAGAATTAAATCGGCCGGTAGCTAATGTTTGGGTGTTGTACGTCTGGCGCTATGGCAAATTCTGTTCCCACGACCCACCCCAGGGCCGACGCCCTCTTTCCTTAGCTGACATTTTTGCTGGGAGTTTACACTTAATTAGTTGTGCATAGGTACTCGGTAACGTACATTGATGTGGTATGCGACTGCTGTTATGTTTGGAACAATCTGTACGTAAATACTGCAAGGGAAATTGAACAGATCGGTTGATTTTCTCTCCAATGGGAATTTGGGGGTTGTACCTCGTGGCGTTCGGCTTGATGTTCGACGTTTATCGTTGCACGTGGTGAGAGTTATTTCAGAAACTGAATGAAATTGGGCAAAACTTCAGGCGTCGTGCCGCATAAAACACGTGGTCAGAGCGCTATACAGAGCAGCAGCGGAAACCTCTTGCGGTAAATCGGTTTTATTCTTTCCAAACTGCTGAACGACATTATTGCATTTTGATTTAAAGCTTTCGTGACTGCAGGGATTCATATTCTTGGTTCTTTCGGTAAAGTCACGTAGAAGGGAAACAATAAAAAAATAAAAAAATATTATTGCAGTTCGAGATGAATAGTAAAATTGGTACAGCCATACAGAGTGCACGAACACATACATTTTTGTTATACACATGGATATTTAGGAGTACAAATTATACCAGACAATTATATGTTTGTAAAAAATAATTTATTAATGCAATGAAACTCATCAGTACTTCGTTTGCCTCATCTACGAATGACATGCCCACATTTTAGTATAACTTACTTTATGCATAAAAGTTCTATATTTAGTTGTATAGTAAAAAAAAGAAGCAGAGCACATCATTCAGGCCCTTAAAAGATATGCAATTTACACGTTACAAACTTCAATGACACTGAACAATATAAAGATCAAACATTGCAGGCATGCTGCATTCAATGAGATGCAACCCTTGTGAACAAGGGTTTTTCAAGGCGAATTTGTAACATAAATGATTATACAATAGTCTAATTTAAACAGCGTTGAGCTCTTTAATATTATTAAAAAAAATTGAAATCTGGTAGAACTTGCCGTGACAATTTTTGATCTGAACGTTTTGCTCCGGGTATAACATGGAAAGCCGCTGAAATATTACATTGTATGCTGCATCTTTTTGAAGTACTGAAGTCAAATGCTTTTCTGCATTTTATTATAACATGGGAAAAAAATATTAACACCTTTGATTTCAGTAATCGGCTAACTACAGATACACAGATTAAACCGATACGTTAGTATGCAGTCTTAACATTTCAAGTCTAAAAGTTAGGTTGACACAATACAGTGTATCATGTATATAATGAGGCACCTCCATTTTAATAAACCTGCTCAACAATGATTGAAACGAGTTTTCAAAATTTATATTTTCTCCAAGTAGTAGAATTGTATTTTTCTTTTATGTAGAAAAGTAAATCTACATACTACTTGTTGTTTTCCTTTAATCCAGGTCGTCGTCCTCCTGTGTATGGCGGAGTGGTGACCAGTAATTGGTTTTATGTTAATGTCTAGGCAGTTGAGCCATGTCGTGCCTGCAAGAGTGATGTGGGTTGTGGATGTCTGTGATGTTGATGTGACTGGTCGAAGTGGGCAGTGCCACGGACAATGTGGTTCAAGGTTCGGCTTTGGCGTTTGCAAATCGCAAACCTGGATCATCTTTTCATTTTCCACTGGTATAGGAGGTGGCCACATAGACCACCTGGTCACATCTCTCAATAATTGGTGACATTGTATTCTGAAAATGATTGTCTGCGTCCGCTCAAAATCCAGAATGTATGGTGAAACACTGGCGTTGCGAGTAAACAGAATATTAACACGCTGTACGTTACTAACGTTAAAATCAATGGCAATATTCAGTGTTGTGTAGAAATTTTACACATGAAGGCAACTCATGTTGATGTTTTTGGGAATAGAAACTCTTTGGCAGCAGGCTTCAATCAGAGCTACGGTTACATATGACGGTTGCTTGTTTAAAATTGCTATACACATTAAATATATTTATAAAACTAAACATAACAAATATAAAATAGCTCCACGAATCCATAGCTAGCCCTGGTGGTGATAATTTATTCTATCAACATAATAATTGGCATTCAACAACAGTTCATTGTGCTTGAACAGTGTCATGTTTTCTGTGGGACCTGGAATGTTAATATTTACACTGTTTATATATACACATTAAAATCATATCAATATCATGCAAGCTTGGTCCGTGTGCATTTGTGAGCTTTGTACCATTGTTCAGGGAAGATGTGAACACCTGACCATGTGCCCCCACCGCTCCTACCGTGGAATTCCCTTGGGCCCTTCTCTACAGGATGTTTTTCTAACCGTAGAGAGAAAAAAAAAACACACCTTTAAAACACACCCCCGTGCCCCCTTAACTCTTAAACTTCCATTACCTACGGTAGTAGGCAGGGCAACTCCCTATTCAGCATGCTGGGTTTGCACCTGGCAATTGTGATGATTTAAGGTCCAGCCACGATAAGCAAGCTGGATTAGGTGCTAACCCTGGTCAGCACGGTAGGATCGTGGGGGGCATCTGCGCTGAGCTTGCCGGATCACTGTGCCATTCCCTACGTGCCGGTGAATGTCGCGCCCCCTGCTTTAGCTGGCTGGACGCTGCGTGTGCGGCCGCGCCACGAGGCCCGGCTGGAGGGAGGCGAGCGGGGCGTCCGGGTGGCGCCGGTTGCGGCTTTTGCGCAGCTCCAGGGCGTGCTTCCACTTGTGGGTGGGGCGGTGCGGCCTCCCCGGGGGCCGCTGCTCCCTCTGCCAGAGCCTCTCGCAGTATTCCTCCAGCGGCGGCAGGCCGTGGCGCAGCTGGGCGAACTCTGCACGGCACACGCGCAGTCGCGGTGAGCGCTGGTTGGGTGGAGGTGCAGCGCCGCGCGTTATGTTTGCTCGCGCCGCTGCTGGTGGAAGGGCCTCCTGCGAGAGGCAGCTCGAGGGACAATCCCTCCCAGAGCAGGGCTCGGCAAAACAAAATTAACAAGAGACTTTTTTTTTCTTTTCAAATTGGGTAACAAAAAAAAACCGCAACGTTTCAAGAGTCGAAATGTGCGTGAATACGAGACGGTAGTCCTTTTAATAAATGTCAACGGAACGGTCCTTAAAGAGCCGCATGCAGCTCGAGAGGCTATCTGGCCTACTAGTCAGATGTCTTTGAAGAGACGGGAGTACCCACGCTATGGCTTATCGCATGCGACTTATATTCTTGGTTCTTTCGGTAAAGTCACGTAGAAGGGAAGCAATAAAATATAATAATATAAAACAATAAACTTCTCACGACGTTTAGACTGCAACACAAGCAATCGTCAGGTGTGAAAACCACAGCAAGAACATTTTCTAATTTTCAAATTTTCTTGCTGTGGTTTTCACACCTGATGATGGTTGCTTGTGTTGCAGTCGAAACGTCGTGAGAATTTTATTGTTTCATATTTTTTATTATTTTATTGTTTCCCTTCTACGTGACTTTACCAAAAAAACAAGAATATGAATCCCTGCAGTCACGAAAGCTTTAAATCACATGCGACTTGATGATCGACTAACTATGGTGTGCGCCAGTATACTGCTGGGTGGATAGAGGTGGGGGGTTAAGAAACTTGCCCCATTGTTTCAACTGCCACATGAGTAGAATTATCTTGGTGACCTCTGAATTGAAAGCCCAATGTGTTAGCCATTACACCAAGCAGAATGCTTTTAATGAAAAAAAATACCAATTATTTACCCACGTATGCCCCCAAATGAGTCTCAATACCGTTTCTAAAGAGGGTCAGGCAGTGGGATGTTGGGCCAATAACATTGAAATGAGTGTTTGGCTTCATGTGGGTGGAAAACAGAGTGACTGAAAAACATCGCATGCAGCACACTGCCTGGTCACCTTGCAGTCCCCCACCTACAACAGCTGACAAGCCCTGGGGGTCACCCATCCAAGTACTAACCAGACTCAATCCTGCTTCCCTGCTTCACTTCTGAAATCCGATTAACTAGGGCACATTCGGGGTGATGTGGTCATGGGCAAATGTTGCAACCAGCCACCATATGAGTGGGGTTTGCTGTTTAACTCAATGAAACGATGATCTGCCATCAACGTTCCATTGTGAACTGCGTTTTCACAGTTCCCAAACATTTGCTAGTCGTCACGCTGTGTGGAAATTTCGTTATATTTGTTTTTGACATTTAGAATTCCTCCGAGCGGAAACACATTTGGTGAGAAGGCAAACACACTGGAACCTGTGTCACAATAATTGCCGGCAGTTTCCATACGAAGGTGTTTGTTTATTTATTTGTTGACAAATAGCCTTTGTGGAACACCGTGGTTATTATGCCCAGATGGTTCAAGTGATTGATATACAAATATAGCCTTTTTTAAACGTTTCAATATGTGAGCGTGGATAATTTTTCCCACCGAAGTTGCCATTTGTTACTCAAATGGGTGATCTAATATTAAGACGGTAATCTAAAGACCCAAACTAGGATTTTAAATTTCGTCATGCTATTTATGTGTGTATGTTGACCTTTTTCACACCATACATAGCCAACCATGCTCATCCAGAGAAAAATACAGGTTTTGTGTATATATATATTTTTAGTGTTCGAAGTCCTACAATGTGATGTTGACAAATAAGAATAGGTTTGACCCTTTCTGGCAATAAAACAGGTGTTAGGATGTTCAAACAATACCTTGTGCAAGGAATCAGGTCTACATTATTAACGAGACGTACTTGTGGTGGACATACAAGCATAACTACCATATGCGTTGTCTCTGAAACTGATCGGCGCTCACCAGAGGCAACCTTCTTGGCTGTGATACTGGCAAAAAGTGTCCCGTGACGATGCGATGTTGGCCGGGTGGCTGCGAGTAGCGCTGCCCCACTCCCCCGCAAGCAGCTCAGCCCCCCCCCCCCCACCCCCCCAACCTTTGTAGTGCTGCCTGAGGTCGGTGACGGAAGCCGGCAGGTCGGCAGCGTCGTCGTCGCTGTTGATCCGTCCCATCGCCCCGTCGGCACGCTCCGCGTTGATGACGCGCAGGCTGAGCCGCGCCACGGTCTGCGCGAAGGTGTTCTCACGCGCCACGCACAGGTACAGCCCCGCGTCTTTGCGGTGCAGGCGCCGGATGAGCAGTCCGTGCTCCAGCTTCACGATGCGGCTGTCCGTCTTGATCTGGAACGCAAGCGGACGCGCGGTTCTCTCGCGCGGTCTGTCTACGGCAGTGTCCTTCGCTAATATTCAGGCGGCGGGGGGGCGGGAGGAGGAGGGGGGGGGGAGTACTTTCGCTGAGAAGACCTCATCGGTGCGAGGGCCCATCACACATTTGAAAGCATTGGGGTTTGACGGCATCGTGGGGGTGTATTCACATTTGTGTGCACGTATTGTCGGGGGCCGTACTAAAGGCCATCAGTGGCCCGCGGGCTTGGCAATGAAGAACACCGGTACATGGGTTTGTGGACGAGGCTGTCACGCGAAACGGATATTAGGACTGTGGTGGAAAGAATAATTGCAAAAGCTAATTTAGTATTTGCTCCTTGGGCAATATACTGTAGGACCCTTGAGGGACATTTTAAATTGCAGGGGTTTCAATGTGGAATCGATTTACCAGCTCTTCCCTGATTGCGATTTTTTTTTTAGTTGACGCCTTCAATGTACTCGACCAGTGTACATCGCCGTATTGACAGCCGCACCATAGGTCGTCAAATGTATGGGTACACCTGACAGCCGGTGTCCTGATGGGCAATCGAGCATTGGTGATTCTCATCTCTGTCGGTGGTCCTAAGTAAGTGGTGGACATTATACATTCTTACGGCTGGGACCAGATTTCCCCAAAGATTAATAATGTTACTGCTAGGCATGGCTTTCTACGTATGGTGCGAAAGAAGTTCTACATACATACATATGCGGTATTCAACAGGTGGCACTCATTTTACTGACCCTGGAGAGATGACATCAGCTCATAGTCTCATGATTGGGAGTCCCTAGGTGCTCTAACAACCATGCTGTTCTAAAAGCTTATGCATATTACAGCGTGTGACTGAATCATCCGGAATGTGCCTGATCGCGTCAGCTCAATTGGCTAAGCAGGGATTTGAGTCTGGATAGTGCTTGTATGGGTGAGGACGATGTGCAGCGGATTTATGGAGGCTGTGGGGAAAAGTGGTTGCCAGCAGAGGCCAGTGCAGCAATCCACGGTTGTACTATACTCTATGCTACCTGGAGATGTTCCCCCCACCTCCCACTTCACCAACCCTCACTGAACCAGCGTTTGATTAATATCGCTGACTTCATGGCCCACACAATGTGGAGGCCTGCATTCACCGCTGCACTGACAAAAGAGTGTATGTGTGTGTATATACATGTACTTATAATCATATGTAAAGGTTGTCGGGTGTGGTGTTGGCCACCCACCCCCTCGTGTACGGTGCCGGCCTTCATAGGTGCTCGCTAACGGCACTTTCCCCAACAGTCTGTTAAAGGCTATAGGGACATCTTTGTATATATGTATTGGTAGAATCGATAATGTACATGTGCTCATGCGTATTCATGGACGGAGCCATAATTAAGGTTGTTCCATTATTGCCAGTGCAGCTTGGAACAACATCAATGCAACTGAGTTTAATTTCACTGCTGGCAGCCTTTGAGCCTTTGTAGCACATGATGAGTAAGTCTCGGTCGTGGCACCTGCACAGATTATGAAACGGTTGCAACCCAATAAATCGTTGTATTGGGCATATACTTGAGCGTGGATAAAATGAGTGTTAAGGTAGGATTGTAGACAGTGACGATGATGTAGGTCTCAATAACCCCCCCCCCCCCCCCACATAATTCTGCATTAACCATACGTAGGTATAGGCAATTAACTAGCTAAGAGTTACCATTCAATACACCAAATAATAATTTGCGTTGTTGCAGTTAGACAGAGGTTACAATTGTTCAACGTAAAATCTTGAAGCATTTCTAAATACACGTGACCGTGGAAAAATCCTCGAAGTACAGGAAGCATAAATTGCTCTGGTCTGCGGTCTAGTAAGCGGTGAATTGCAATTTAACCATGTTATTGGTGAATTGCCAGTTTCGTTTATAGAATGTGTGGCGGTAGTGAGTGGCCAGCGTGCCGCACTACAAACCCTGCGACCCGAGATTGTATTGCTGCTCACAGCCGCCAACAACAGTGACGATTACCAGAATCGGATTGGGGCATCCCCTAGGTCGACTCAGCCTTAAATGAGTACCTGTTGTGTTCTGTAAACATCAGCATTGGGAAGACAAAGGGGGACTGGGCATAGTTCTTGCTCCAACACATGTCCTTGAATCATGTATGGTCTTTATAGGTGCTCGCTAACAGCAATGTCTACAGCAGGCTATGTTAGCAGGGTAATTGTGTGTATTTACAGTACATATCCTGTGTATGGAGTGATGCCACTAGTATTGGATGGTACTGCAATCCCATAAATCTGGGTTTGATTCCCAGCTATGGAAAACACGAGTGGTAAATATATGAACCTAAATAATCAAGAGTGAAGTCATAGAGAATGTAAGTAACAATATTATATTGAGATACCCCCAGGTCCGTTGTGCCTGAAATGAGTTACGTATTTTAAATTGTGTACACCGCTATCGCTGGATAGATGACCCACATTCTGATTTTTGTACAGCGTCTTGAGATTCGCATTTAGAGTCTGTAGAAATCCAAACTAAGTGCTGTTGGGACACCTAAGCAGGTCTGTGCCATGTCAGCATTAACCAATGCTTGCTGACAGCACTTGCATCGAGTACAATTTTTTTGTCCATATTTTCCTTTGTAGAAACAAAAAAAAAAGTACTTTAAGCATATACACATGTGAACTTATTGAACATGAATCCTCACTGCAAAGGTGCATAATTTGCGCAGACGCTCAGGCCAAGTAACCGCCTTTCATCTGTAAAGCATTCATCCCAAGCGTATACACGCGCGCTCTCAAGGATACACGCTAAAAACGAAACCTCCTGAGAACATCAACAAAGGATTAGACGAGTCGCCATAATTCCTCCAATTGTCACCCGCGGGTTCAAAGGTTGGCCGTTGGTCAGCCGCTAGACTAGCAAAAGTCAACAGGGACGTGTACACAACGGTTACCTCCTCCTGCTGCTCGTCCTTGCTGTGTTGTATAAACCAGACCACGGAGGCCTGGTGCGACTTTGGAGAGCACTCCAGGAAGGTGGAGTTGTGTTCCATTCCAAATATGATCTTCTCTTCGGCGTGGACCACGTTTGACCCTGGGGGGGGGGGGGGCGCGGAAATGTTGTGCGGTTAGTCGTGACATAATCGGAGACTACTTTGTTGTGAAATATCCGGCGATCGTGGGGTTTGTATGTGGGTTCACCACTCAGTTTAGATGTTTAAATGGCAGTTGGTCACTTTTTTGTAGCTTTTTTGTATAAATTGTTAATTCTTGAAAACATTTTTTAGACCCACGCTGTATGATGACATTCTGTGCCTATGTTTATCACCATAATAGTTAGAAGAACGTCAAAAATGAAACACTAACAAATGCAAAACAATATTTCACCTTCGTAATTTTTTTTAATTAATGCGGTATGATTTTATTTGGGCAATTTAGGTTAATTAAAAAAAAGGGTTTACATCTTGTACAGGCCTAGGGTGCGTTACAATTACACGGTTAAAACAAAAATGTGTCCAAACCCATATGCCCAAGCAAATGCGTAACATTTGCGAATATCCCTTGGCAGCCAAACAGATATGATTTTATAATCATCCGATTGATTTCTAAACAAGGAATATCAAATGAGAAATTACTTTTCCCGCTAAACTCCCCTGATTTCTGAAACAAGTGGGTAAAAAGTGTCTAAATGCAGGTATTGGTATTTTTGCATTTAGTCCATTGAACGTGTATCCAATTTCCTTAAACCGCCAATACAAATGGCAATTATGTAAATGACATGTTCCAGACTTGTCATCAAAAGAATAAAGACACCCCTTTTTCTTCGTACTAAAATCTGTAACAAAAAAAAATTATTATACAAAGACCTTGAAAGTGCAGCGATTGGCTATTTACAGTGGAGGAGGATGCTGTCTGGTAAGCTTCACAACCACAATTTGACTAACAAACATAAATCAAGCTGGCCTGCAGCTGGACGTTTTGTCTTCACTGTGGCTCGATGGTCTTGTAAACAGCTGTAGATTTGAAAAACGACGCAGATACACATGCGGCAAGTTCCATTTTTCACGAGGATTTCCAAATGCCGGGAACTGTGCCACTGCTGTTGATTTGTGACCATGCATGCGCCTCCAGTCATGAGAATGAGTATTTCATTTCCCGAAGCTACGAAGTGTTTATGTAAATGACTTCAAGGTGAAGGTGTATCCCTGCAGTTGTTGTGTATGTTTCGCATGTTGAACTTATTTTGAACATCGTACGTAGTCAACAAATGCTAGTTGGAGGTGTGCGGGGGAAGGACACCAAACTCAACACAAAACGCAGTTCTAAAGAGATGAGTTTTCAATCTGGATTTAAAAGTACATAGCTCCAGCCGCTTCCTCATATCGGAAGGAAGATCGTTTCAGACGTAGGAGCATTCCTTCCTCTTCCCTATGATCTCAAAACAGCGTTTTGCAATGTGGTTGCATTTTTTTTACTGGAATTGTACTCCAGAAAAAAAAAAAACATAAAATCGCAGTGCTAACTGTAACACACACTGCCAATGCTGAAGCTAGCTACATATGTAAAGGAACTAAAATTTATCTAGATGACTAATTTTTAAGGTATTGTATATCAAAACATTTGCGATTAGAGTGATGGAGAGTATAAGTACCATTTTCCTACATTTATATCTCAATTGTCATACGACATGATGCCAAGATGTTATGCGTCTCACTCCTGTGGGTGGAAGACTGCAAAGCAGATAATTGCGTTACATGGAATGCTTTGTCCAGGCGGTACGTTTATATCTAGAAATAATTATCAATGTTTTATTGCTTTAACCCTGGCATAGTTAACATTTTGCTTATTCACTAGAATGATTTGCACAAAATGGAACAGCAAAGTAACATTTTAGACCTAATCTGCTTTTTTATTTCCGAGAATTTTCCCCGCTGGACCACAATGGAATTGAATACAGTTAAAATGTAAAACAATACACAATTTTATAAACAATGCTATGAGAAATGCCATTGCCTCTGGTGTTGAGATATGTTTATTTCTGAACATGCTCAGAGCCCTCTTGAGGTAATCGACTGGCTTGATGTATCTCACTCGACGCTGCCACGCCAGACACTGAGCAGATCACGATGTCTGGCGTTTTGGAACATTCTTGTTTTGCTTACAATCATACATGCAATTATCTATGTATCATACATTTATTACTTCTCAATTGCATTAACATTGCACAATAACCTTTTTGTAGAATATTTAATCCACAAGTTTCAATATACTTCTCGCATAACTATCCGCGTACTACACATTTAACCTTTTTCAAACATCTTGTTGCTTGGATAATGGCTGTATTTACCGGTGCACGTAAATACACACGAGGCTAATAAGGCAGGACACAATGAATGTTTTATTATGTGTACTGTATATATGTTTTTTTGTATGGATAATAATTAACTGCCATGAATCAATCCAATCCAGGATGAACGCCTATGCCCTCCATGTTGGTCACGGAGGCTATCGAACAATATTTCATCATGCCGGCATTACAGGGGGTTCCCATGACTGGTTCATATTTCACTCCATACTGATGTTACCAGTGGTGGAGTAATTCAACCCAGGTCGCTGGGTTCATAGCGCAGGATGCTAAACCCACCGTGGCGCGCTGTGCCACCTTTATCCAACTCTTACATCAAGTGACCTCTAACATAAAACGTAAAGAGAGGCAAAGGTGCAGCGCTGCAGTTTCTTAGCTTGCAGCACTGCTGGCGTAAGTGGGCTCTGCTAGAGTTATGTCTGTAGAGACTCGTAAGAGGGCATTTGGCCTACTCTTTCAGGGTGGCCAGAAAAAAAAAATCGACAAAGTGTAAGTGCCCACACTTTACCTCCCCACGTATTGACTCGCTGTGATGTGTCTATTTACGTTCAACTTGGTGGGGAATTTTAAGAAACTGGCACCGTCGTGTCAGATGCCATGCCGGACACTCAAAATCGAACCGGCGACCTCTGGACTGCAACGTCCCAGTGCGCTTTTAACCATTCTTCACCACAGCGGCGTCGACCTTCAATACCTTCTGTTTAAAATATTGAGACATGATGACGAGCCGACTTACTATCTTTGAGGTCCCGGCACTGTTCGTTCGGATCCCCGTGGCGGACATCCTGTCGTCTGGACCGCCTGTTGCTGTGTGTACAGAGCGCATGGACAAACCATGGATAAGCATCTCTCTCCACCCTCCCCCCCTTTCTTTTGAAAGGATGTTGTATGACAAGTCGAGACAACGAGACACACAGCTTTTGGAGGTCATCATGATTTATCTGTACGTATTAAAAAAAACTCGTTTAAAGCGACTAATATTTATACACGGAGGGGCTGAGGCGAATTGTAAAGATACTGTGAACCGATGCCAAAATATGTCCATTGTGAATTCAGATTGTGTTGAAATACAATTGTATTGTGTTTATCTTAGGATTCATGGTTTGTAATGGCTGTTGTCGTAAGGGGGAGTTGGCACGCTCTTAAGAGCACTTCTAAAAAGGCACACAAAATAAATAGTATAGTAGGTTCACGGATGAGGCTCAACAATTTTTTTTTTAATAAACACATCATCCTAATCGTAGTCTATTTTTCAATAAATCCACCCCTGAAATTAAAAGTGTGACCCTGTGCTCATAACATAAGGCCTACAAATATTGTTTTCAAAGCATTGAGCAACATGCTAATTGGAGACGTAATCTCTCAAGATCTCGTCAGATCTCAGAAGCTAACCCCGGTTTGAGCCTGGTCAGTACTTGTAAGGGACACACTAGCTAGGGAAATACCAGATGCTTTAGGTTGGCACTGTGAGGTGGCCAGGCAATGACTGTGCAGCAATGGTTTCCTGTAGCAATCTGTGCAGAGCTTTGCATGTAATTCCATTTTTACTATTGAGGGGTTTCTCCTGAGTCTTCCAGTTTCCTCCCACCACGAAGCCAAAACCACTCATTAATGGAACGGGCCAAACAATCCAACTCACGAGGGCCCCTTTAAAGATGACTCTTGAGACTCGGTGAGGGCTTTCCTGGGTTTGCTCTCAGTAATTCCCCCCGGGAGGATTTCGCCGAGCCTCGCTGCCGGAGCTGGTGCCGAAGTGTCACCTCTTGGGCAGGGGCAGGTAGCGGGAGCAGGTGGCACCGTCCCAAGCACAGTAGGGGTCGCGTGCCAGGCAGCACTCGGCGCACGCCTTCCCGTACACCTCGCAGCGATGCAGGGAGAGCTGAGCCAGCCCCGTGCGAGAGCCCACGTACAGCTGGTGCTGCGCAACAAGCAAAAAACACCCGGCGATGGTGTTTGTGAATGCATTTCTCTATATATATTTAAAAAACGAACGATTTAATTTGTATGAGACTGGCATTTTTGTTGCGTTGCGTTAATCCGCGATGGAACTGAAACCGTGAAAGGGAAGTGTGAGCGGGGCTTGGGGAAAGATGCATCGCTAGACCGGGACGATGGCTGATGGCCAAAGAATGATGGAGTGACGGCCAAAGAATGGAACGTGTCCAAGAGGTGCTCCACCGAGGAGATTGAGCGACGAATTCGGCTCGTTTGGAGGAGGCTAAGTGGATTATGAATTCTATCACGGGATCATCTTTCTTTTATGTATTTAACACAGCGCTTCAGTCATAAAAGGTGGCAGCTGCCTGGGAAGGCCTTCATACAGCAGTGGATTGATCATGGCTGGTGATGATGAGGAGAATGCTGTTTATTAATTATGACCTGGTGTGTTCTCAAGACCATCCTCATCATTGTCATCAACTTTCAAATGTACAACACTGTTCTCAATTTGCAGACTTTTACAGGCCACGGGGACAACGTGCCTCTCGTGTGAGAGAGACGAAGGAGAAAAATACATCATGGCTTAAAGCTTTCGTGACTGCAGGAATTCATATGCTTTGGGTCTTTCGGTAAAGTCACGTAGATAGGTTCAAAAATAATACAAATAAAAAACTACAACATTTCGATCGCATCACAAGCATTCGTCATCAGGAAGATGATGACGAACGCTTGTGTTGCGATCGAAATGTCGTAGGTTTTAATTTTTAAAATGTTCTTTGAACCTATCTACGTGACTTTACCGAAAGACCCAAAGAATATGAGAAAAAACACATGTGAGAAGTCTAACATAGCAAGCAAGGTGCCAAGTGTGTTGTTATTTGGCATTGTGATTACTGATAGTTTTTATTTATTCCCCAACAGCAGATGCAGCGTAAAATAAAATAAAAACTTTCCATCATTTTTGGACAGCTGCTTAGCATTCACCACTGCAGGAAGAATGCTTCCATTGTTCAGTGAAATCCTTCATTGTCAAGCAATTCGCCAGTCCTGCCCTTTAAGCAGTCAGATTACAGGTAAACGCGGTTTCAAATTGACGGTTTCGAATTTTTTGTAAGTTTTTTTTTTTAAATAATGTCAACATTTCTAAACAAATCTATCCTTTGGTACCTTTCCAAACTGTCACTCTGTGCCCACTGACAAATACCATACTTTTATTTGAATACCGTATTGAAAGAGGTGTCTGTTTAAACGTATTTTATTTTTACTTCCTGTGCGGATTTTGGTTCCGATTCACACATTGACGAATGCCTCTTTTCATTAGATTTTTGGTGGCATATGTAGCGATGCTTTTGTCACCTGAAATTGGGAAAATTGGCAAGGGGCTGTATTTTTGATCCTATATGCGAACATAGTCCTTTATGTACGGCACCCCAATGAAATCCATATCTCTTGGTAACAGAAGCGCACGCATCAATGTGGAGTTTTAATTTTGCGCAGTGAATGTGCATAAACAAATGTGGTAATTGATATTCAGACTATTGGTGTTGGTAGTGTTTTTCTCTCGTTAAGGAAAGTAGCTTGCAGCCGAGCAGAACGCTTATGAAATGATTATTATTATTCACAAGATGCTTCCCAATCCCCCCAGGTCTTAGCTAGAATGAGCTGTTACACGTGTCAGCTGTGCACCCATGCATAGGAATTGAACGGATGAATTTAATGGAATGTCTGTGTGTGTGTGTGTACTTACAATTATTTGGAATTATAACCCCAAAATATTTTATATATTTTTTGTGAACCATTGGATGGGACAGTTATTTAATTCCTATATATTTGGGGTTCTTTATAGAGTGATGTAAAACGATGCTGAATCAAAAAAAAGATTTTGATTTGGAATGCAGTCAAGAGTCAATAACAGATGGTGAGAGATGGTAAATGTATGGCTAACGTAAACAGACACGTTCGCTTCGCCGAGTGCACAACTCCTCCAACAATTCATTACCTAGTCCTTGTTTCTGGTGCAATATGCCTGTTATTTAGGAAATATTGTTAATGCGTGTTCTGTAAGCACCATTTCTGCCTGCAGCATCTGACGCGTTCCCTTCCATTGTGGCCTGTTCCTCCTCACGGATCACTTTGACGTTGTTCTGTGCTCGTGCACCACGGATGTTCGAAAAGTCGCTGGGTAACTGTCTAAATGGGACTTTGTGTAACAAACATTGATTGATTTATATAGATGGAATTGAATGTATGTAAGAGGAATCGAAGCAGATTTGCAATGTTGAGTCCTTGCAATTGTCTCTCAATTTATGATATAATTAATGCAAAGAGTAATGTATTATTAACATCACACAATATAAAAAAAAAATATTCGAGAATTGAAGTTGAAAGCAATTGACAAGTACGATTTGAATGCTTACCCTTTTTATAGATATTTTCATGCTGATGATTGGTGATGGTTCCTGGAAGTGAAAGAAAACGGTTGAATGTTTTAAAACTTATACAAGGTCGTAAGCGTTGTGGCATTCGCAACATTGCCTAGGGGGGGATCCTTAGACTCCAATGATCGAGACCCATCACTATTCCATTTTCACTTCTATCAATTCCATTTGGATACAAATTACACACCACACGCACCTGATTATTGGTAAACGCATACAAGATTATATGGAGTGAACCAATAATCGTTGAAAGATGATCACACGCATACAATTATGGGAGGCAGAATTGTATTCAGCGCTATCGCATGGATCGTTTACCGAACATCAGGCGCATGTAGCAAGGACTAACGAGTGTTATATTTATTAACAGAGGAGACTGGTAAAAGTGTTTAAAGTCCCGACTGGTGAGGTGCAAGGAATGGAGTTGAAAGATAATGTTATACGATGGCTCCTAAATATAGCTTCACGAACCGAAAAATAACACGTGGGGCATTTCTTATAGCTCCCCTCAAAACAACCAAATGCAGTGCACGTTTGCTGGTGTTGCAATAATTCACATTATCACATTATAGTGGGGTGTAAGTGTGCGGCATGCGTGTGGCATTCCTTTTTACCTTAAATACTCGAATTTCCTCCAGAACCACCTCCTCTGTGAACCGGTTTTCCTTGTTGATGGTTATTGCTTTGAGCACCAAGCCGGAATCTGAGGGCAATAAATCAGTTTTTCAATAAGTGCCTCGCCATGACCTATTCACATCGAGTCATTTTCTGGGCATTAGGGGACGAAGCTGTAACCAAAGATGTTTATGGATCGAACAATTATTACGATCACCATGGGAACACAGAGGCTCGGGTTACCCTGTTACGCCGTTTATTTAAATAATGTTCAAACACTCGAGCGATTAAAAAAAAACCTGCCAGGCAGGACCCCCCCCCAAAAAAAAACGGCTACGTTATTCGAAATTAATTACGAACTCTTTTACACGAGGATTCTTGTGGGTAATAGGTAAGCAAAGGCATGGTTAGTGTATGGGAATTGTTTCGACAAAGCAACTAAATTATGTACAATTCTAGTGTTGATTATATTATTTATATATATTTATAACTTACTGGTGGATTGTGCTTTCAAAGTCGTACAGATTTTGAAATAATGAGGTAAGACGTTGTCCTCACGACCACGTCATTAAGTTCCACTTAACATTTGCCCATTTAGCGCTTTGCTGGCATTTCATTCCATTCCGCCCATAGCTTGCCAGAGTGTTAAAGACACACTGATGACCGCACAATAACACAATAGCTCGATAAAACATAATGATACAATTATGTGGGTGTTGAGGGGGATGTTATAAAGTTATTTTTCCTGAACCGTGCCCCATCCCCCCCACCCCTGAGCCCCTCCCCCTGCACCAAGCTGTGTAGAGACACGGTCCGGTCCGCTCGCCTGTTATCAAGAAACAAGAACAGTCTGTCCACGCACAACTCCTAAGGGCCCCTATCCCATTTGAATTTCACCGGGTGAACTTTGACGGCTTGCTGAGCTTGCATGTCCCGACTGGTTTTATTTTTATTTTCAATTCGTAAATAAAATAAACCCGTTGAATGTAATTGATATAGGGTATCACATATTCTGAAATCCACGTCATCGATATCGCGTAATACGCTTAAAACATTTATTTCTGTTCCGTTCCCCAATAGCTTCGTGTGAAGGGCGTGCGTGGAATAAGAGTGGTGATGTAGCCCCAGGTACATTTCAAAGATTCTAGAAAAGAGACCATAACCTTCAGCGGTAACCCTAACCCAGAGAAAGATTGATGAGGGAAGTTGGCATAGTTGTTAAAAACAGAAGGCTTGAAGTGAATCACGCTCAGCAGCTAACGTAAAGCAGCTGGATGCCCATTTGGTAGACGCTGGCGTATATAAAAAACGCATGCCGCTCAGGGCTTCAATTATAGTGAGACGGGTTTAAATGGTGACAATTAAGCACAAATCACACGAATAACTTTACCCTGTCAATTGGCCAAAATGGACTGCCATGGGTGTTCTGCTCGTATTATCCCACCACCTAATATATCAACTCTATGTCCCCTTAAGAGACTGCGAAGAAAGTAGCAAAACACTAGACACTGGGCTTATCCCATACTGTAATAATAGTAATAAAAATGGAAAGCGTTTACATAAATTAAGTCCTGCAGACATTTAGGAGAATTGTGTTTTGGAATATATAAGGCTATGCCTTTGTTTAAAAACTGCAATTTTTGTCTGCGTCTTTAGCAGGTCATTATAACTTACGCGTTATCTCCCGCGGTGTGTTGATGTTTGTGTAACGCATCTTGGATGTGAACTGTCTATCTTATCAGCGATGGAATGCAACCCACTGCCACTCCCAAGGACCACACAGTAAACGGGATACCAATCTTCGCTGTGATCTTGTCAAAATAAAGTCATTGGTCGCAATCGGCCAGAGTCAATCCGCTGCTGGATGGTCTCAAAAAATGTGTCATCAGCCATGATCTATCCACTGCTGCATTAATGCCTTCCCTCCCCCTCCCCATTCTGCCACCATCTCTCTCAATCCAGAGACGTAATAATTCATCGAGTGCCCACACATGAGCTGATTTAAATGTATATATGGTATGTATGTCGAACTTCTTTCGCGCCGTACGTAGCCAACCGTGCTAATTGGAGGTGCGGGGGAAGGACAACAAACGAAACACAAAAAAACAGTAATAGAGAAATTAGTTTTCAATCTAAATTTAAAAGTGCGTAGCTCCAGTGGCTTCCTAATATCGGAAGGAAGAGCATTCCAGACGGCCGCCGCTGCTTGCGAGATTGAGCGGAGTTCGCGTGACCAGTTTACCCTCCTCGAAAACCAAACGAAGAAAAATAATCCCGTAACGTTATAACGCCACGAGGGCAACGCTTGCTCGGCACTGGCGGCGGCGAGCACTCACCCGTCCCCAGGAAGAGCACGTCGTACTGGCCGTCGGTGGCCTCCACGCGGTCCACGGCGATGCGGGTCAGCGTGTCCCCCGTGCCGGCACGCACGAGCAGCGGGCGCCCTCCGAGCGGCGCCACGGCCTCCCACACCAGCTGGTGCCTCCGCACGAACTCCAGCACGTCGTCCGGCAGCTCCCGTGTGGACGCGTAGGCGGCGTCGTACGTCCTGCTTGGGCACTGCGGGCGTTGGGGCACAGCAGCGAGAGGGCTGTTGTTGTGGGCAGCCTGGCCTGCGCTCTTGCGCTTCTCCCTCTCGGTCCGTGCTCATGCTGCACGATTTGTGATAGCTAGCGTCGCCACGTAGGTCTACGCGCGTGTGTGCGCCGGCTAAGTTCTCCAAAGTGTTTTTTTTTTTCTTTCAGGTAGTGCCCGCACCTCCGATATTAGCACGGTTGGCCGCGTGCGGCGCAAAAAGAAGTTCAACGTACATATGCACTGCGTGCTGTTTGGCACGATGTCCGACGTTTCGATCCACGTGCTGGGAGCTTATTTAGTGGGAGCGAAACGGCCAACATCGTGCCAAAACTTAAAACTTGGCACAACCTGAAAACGTATCGGAGCGTCGTTATCAGGATCTGTGTCTCAACTGTGCACGGTAACTTTACACGCTTTTAACAAACGTATGATGATAGATAAGTTATGGTATGTGTGTGCAATATGGCGGACTGCACCATGGAAATCCTGGAGCAGATAAATGCAACTGCCTCTCATAATGCTTGCACACATAGGAGAGTGTGTATTTTGAGAGCAAGCGAATAAGGAAGGTCATGTTTTATTACTCAGGGCATTGGGAAGGGGGCTAAGGGGGTACAGGGCAGAGCAGACGAGGAGATGACATGTTAAAGGTGTGAATGAAGATACTTAATAGCAACAGTGACCGTCAGTCATAGGCTGAGGAGATAATGAAGGGTCTTGTGCCTCGACTAGAACAGTGCGTGCAGTGTGGGTGTCAATAGGGATTGAATTTCAGACAGTCTGGGCATCGTGGCAATAGAGGTGAAGGTGTTAACCACCCACTGAACAGAGATTGACTGGGGATTTTGCCAGAAAGCCTTGGTTGCTAGAGCCGATGGGATGGAGAGGGTAATACAGTGAAATGAGACGAGAGTTATACGTGGCGATGAATCGATGGAGGATTTTAAGGGTGATGAGAGTGATCTTGTCGTTGATCTGGGATTATATTGGAAGCCTTGGGGAGTGACCTGAAAATGGGGGAATTTGGTGGCACTCACGTGCGTGGATACGAGTCTGGCTGCTGATTCGTATCGTTTCGGGTTTCGGAGGCCAGGGATTGGATGGGGACATGGATGGGGAGTTACAGAAGTCGAGTCAAGATGTTATCGAGGTGTACGAGAAGGGTTTTGGCAGCAGATGGGGCAAATAAGTTGCAGAGTTAGACGATGTTGCGCGATGGAGATGTCATGGAACAAGGGGGGTTCTTGGCTGAGAATTTGGCCAACCTTTTTTATGCTTTAGGTGAGCTTGATGGAAAAGGCAAGCTTAAAAATAGAATCGATTACGAAGTACATAACCTTTTTTGGCGATGAGACCAACTTTTGTTGGTAACATTCAACAAATTGATAAACATGTAAGGTGGATCACGGGATGGGGAGAGAGTCCTACAGTTTGAAGAAGCTTTGGTCTCGCTTTACTGAAATGAAAACAACTATCACCTTGAGGAAAATGGCCTTGCAAAGGCTGGCTGCTTTAGAGTTATAATTGAGCAAAGTATGTGTTTTTCCAAGGCGAGTAATTTAACTGTCAAAATGATGAAATAATGTTCCTGGGATAACAAATAACACAATGACCACCTTGGAATGGCATCAATGGCAGAGAGGGCCTTTGAAGAGTCACTGAGCTAAGCATTCATTTGTTCTGGTATGTGGAACATTACTGCTTGCCAATTACATCTGCAGTTATTCGTCATGCTGTATACATGAGTGGTATTATAATGGTATTTTCAGACCCTTAGCACATGTTTTACCATTAAATTGCGTGGCTTTCATGAAGCACTCTTTGGCTGTCGGTATTAACTATTTTATGCTATAATTGTCAAATTTTACAAGGGTTTCTAAACCCCATCTCTTTGGGTTTAATCCTTCTAAATTTAATATGGACTTCCTAGAGCTCAGTTATCAAAATTTATAATAGAGGAGCATGACATTTTAATTAACAACCAGAATATATAATGGTACACCACCTAAGACCTTGAAGGCTTTTGATTCTTCAGCTACGCGGTCGAAGCCTGTTTTCAATGGACCCGTATTTGGAAGTCCAAGTTACTGCCAGAATGAAACGTTTATTTTATTTCACATATTGCTTATGTTAATTAACATACGTATATGTGTGTGTGTATATAAATATAAAAACACAAGTCTTTGAAAATATATCTAGTTTTTTGTATGCATTGCCCACTAAAATTATTATTTTCGATGGTGGAAATTAGTTAAGTTATGAACTCTTGGGACATTTCAGCAGAGTCTGAAAAAACACATTCAATTGCTGGTGGTATTTCTCAACTCGTGTGTTATTTAAAATGGTACAATATTAACTTCGATTGCTACCATTCACAAGGTTAATTAGACGGCCTCAAAGGTGATGTGTTCAGTAATATTCGCATGATGGACCCATGACAAGTTCGTTATTTATGTCTGCAGTCATCAACTCAATGTTAGTTGTGTTTCTCATCTCATTTTCCATTGAAACCTGCTGGAAACCATTCATTATTAATTATGCCTCTTCATTTTTCAAATGTTATGCTCTGATCATTGTCTGTCATAAACAGCAGCATCAACAACAGCCTACATTGTACAATAAGGTGCATAATGTAACAGACATTAAATTAGTGTACAATTTTAATGGTTTTTTTTTCTTCAAAAGTCCAGACTGTCGGAAGTTGACTGTTGTGCCACCACCTACTGTGCCAGGTCGTGGGTATGGAATCCGGTTTTTGAAGTCCACCCACTGGTGATCCGGGCCCTCCTTGTGTGCAAAGGGGCCATGGAACGCGGCACGGATGTCGGACATGCTGTACATGCACACGGCCGAGCCTCTGAACACCGAGCTGAAATAAGAGAAAAAAAATATACGGTAAGTCGCTGGCAAGGTCACACACATTTTTTTCACAGGCACAGGGCTCCTTGAGCAGAAATTGAATGTTGAATGAAGCTGATAAGACACTTTGTTTTATAACGCCGCCCTTCGTTTGCACAGGGAAGCCTCGCCAAGTGTTAAGAATCCGTTTTTGCAGGGGGGGGGTCTTGCAATTTTAGGATAAATAGCGAATTCCGTTAAGCAGTGTGGCATGTGGGAAGAGACTTGAGTGCCCGGAGAAAACCCCCTGCATATGTAAGAGTAATGCTCCCACCTCCACAAAGATACATTCAATAATCCATTAATGTATTGCCATATCCTGGCCACTTTAAATCTTCAAGTTAATCTCCATTTTTCTTAGAAATTCCATTCTGGAAGAGTTTGATTTAAGATGTAGAATCAATGCCTGTGTCATGAATAGATTAGGATAAATCGTCTGTCCGAAGTTGAGACTTGCATGCTCACCTTGATGTTGTAAACACAGCGTAGATAATTGGGTTTCTGTCATCTTTATTGGGAAGCAAAAACACATCTCCTGTGGAAGACACACAATCCACGAGTATAGTTAAAGGCCAATCGAGCATTGAATCTGCTCATCACTATAATGGACATGGTGATCCATTTACAGACAACCCACCGATTGATGACGTCACCGTTCTCGACAGGGCATTGGATACCGTGAAAGTGACAGCTCCATATTTTAACAGAGGAGATATTATACTTGTATTGAGGTTGGTGGGAGGCAGAGGTAGAGGCTATACACGTATCCAGTGTGTTTCGGGGGTCATACATTGTACCATCGTGTCGAACAACACATGGCACGGATAGCTGTACAGCAGCACAGTGAAAACCTACGCAGTGGTATGCAGAGTAGAGGCTTTGAAATTAAAGTTTTTCCTGTCTGTTATTTTTAGTGGGGTATCTATAAATGGATCACCATACACGTGTAATGACGACTTTGACACACTTCTCTTGAGACGGCACTTTATTGAAGACGCGTTCACTTGACACCAGGCAGAGACCCTTCCCCCCCCCCGCGTAGCTCCCCCTTATATAGCAACACGAGGCCACGCCCCCCTTCTCGATCATTCTCGCTGACTCTGGACGCTCCCTCTACCGGCAGACTCCACCGTCCTCATCCGTCACCTGACCACGCTCCCTTCTGGAACATTCCCGTAGCCACCAGTCCCTTCGCACTCACAACTGATTCCCCTGTCATTACCTCTCGTGGCCACTAGTCCCCTCACACCGCATGCAGGCTCTATTATCATTACATCTGCAACATGATAGAAAGAACACAAGTCTTACTGAGCTCGTCGAAGTGCGTGTCAATGTCATTGGGTCCTGGGATGGAGCACACGAGGCGTGCCTTCAGGAACGTTGTCCACTTGTTAACCAAGCTTCTTTGGCCACCCATGTCATTCTGGCGAACACAAAGGTCACACAACACTTACACCAGGTAAACGATACCTAACGGACAGAGAGAGAATGTCACGTGCCTCCCAAAGTCAGCGATCTAAATTATTAGGGGGCTGCATTCCAATGACGTAAGAAAGGAAATGATTGAACGTGACGCCTGCAATGCGGTGCTTTGGAGGCAAGGGTTGACGGATCGCATCGATTTCAGACTTTTAAACATGCCGGGCAGTGAAGTAGCCAAGTGGGAGTACAGTCAAGGTGGGGTTTGCGTCGACATTTGAGTGATACCTCTTTGTAGTCACGGGTTTTTCTCCAATATATACATATATATTTAAAATAATTTCTTCCCACATGCAAAAAACCCTTTTAGACATTTAAATAATCATATTTCGCAATGTAGGACCTTTCCAGAAGAACAGAGGGGACTAAAATATGGAGAGAATGGAACGCTCATTGTTCTCGCTGCAACAACTAAAGTAATTGAGTGTTGAGAAACAACAGTTGGTGTTGAGTTGGCCTTTGTTTCATTTGATGTTGTATTGCATGTGACGCTCTTAAGCTGCCGTCGCTACAAGGTATTCCATCCCATTAATGTGAGCTTGCAGGGACTATCTAAGAAGATCTTGCGATATGGACTTTGCCACAAGCATCACAATATCGCCTATTCGGTGAAAATACATCTCGGTCTTTGTGTTGGCAAAGCGATATGCTTTTCATAAAAATACGCCCATAATAAATATGTAAGATTGGATATTCTCCTATGAAGTTTGTCTTTTTAAGCAATTGTAAAATGCTCAGAGATTGATGTTATCGATAAACGCAAAGTTAGTGACAAATACTTTTTTATAGCATGATGCATTACACACGAGTAGAAACATGGGTTTATTGAGGACCTATTTGCAACGTTCGCTGCACAATGTTTTGATTCGGTGGTTCTTTGAATTTTCGAGTTGGTATTCCCTACAATAATCCCTTGCCATTGGATAAAGAGAACATACATATGAATCCACATGTAGATGTGACAACCTTTATTTACATATAAATACGATTCCACAATTAACTTCTCATCCAAAAAAACGCGAAAGCATTCCCCCCCCCCAAAAAAAAAATTGTTTGAATTTAAACCAATCCATTTTGTCCTTTTGCATTCTCCAGAAAAAAAACTCATCGAAATATGGAACATCGCAGCAGGCGCACAGTACATGACTACTGAACTAGATGCTGGACGATAACTCGGTTAGAAGCTTCAATTGGAACTTACTTTGCAGACACGAGCCACCCGAGAGTAGAGGACTTTGTCTGAGGCTCCTGCCTCAATGCCGTACTCCCAAAAGAATACGTAAACCTTGTCGTCATCGGGGTTCTGGCTTTCTGGGATTACAAAGGAACCCACAAAATTGGGTTCTGCAAGGGAGAGAAAAAAAACCCCACCCACAGCTTAAAAATCAACCAATTCGGGCAGTGGTGCACAGCGACAAATAATAAAAACACAACACATTCGCTGATAATAAAAATTGGGTGGAATTTCGAGAAGCTGACAGAGATGTCACTGGCAATGAAGAGGGGCTATTGCCTGAAATGTTGCCTGTTATATATATATGCACAGTATATACACGTTTCATTTATAAGACAATGTTATTGGCATTAAACAAATGGCTTTGTATTTCAATGTATATAATCAGAAAGATGCTCCATAATTTGGGATTAGATAGCGTAAATATATAAATGTGTCATTAAACCCACCACCACCCGACACAGCCGACTATGGCTTTGCTCTCCAACACACCGGTGTGCTGTACTAGTGACGAATTGGCACGTTTTGTTTACGTGACAAACCTTACGAATTGACTGTGTCGGGTGGTGGCCGGTTTAACGAAACATTTATACATTTACGCGATCTAGCCCCCCCAAAAAAACCTGTATTATGGATAATATTGGTCGCGAAAGCCTACGTGTTAAACTGAGAAAGATGATGCATGTGTTTTTTTACGAAAACGTTTGAATGGTGTGTCCATGAGTGGCCATGCATGGGCAGGATTTGTGGCTGAACAGTGGAATACCAATTTGAAACTATTAAAATGACTGCAAATGTTCAAAGTCTATTATAACATCGACACTTTCAATCAAACTTTTATTGCAGCCAGGTGCCGTGTGCACTGTGAAGTATTTGTTCAAGAGCACAGCAGTATTCACTTGGAAAATCTGGTACAATGCATTTATTAACACTGCAAGGAGAATGGACCGTACTGTGCTTTGATCCACTTTGAAATACAGGACGCTTTGTAAAATGCGTGCATGGTGGCCTTTTGTGCGGCAGTAACTGAGAAATAGTGGAGTTTTGTAAAAAAAAAAGGATGAGCTTGGCCCCCACCAGACATCCCAGCTTCCTCCTAATGAGACTTAGTCCAGTGTGTGTGGTGCATGTGTGAATTGACCAAAGAGACAAGTGGCACTAAACAGTGAGACTTATGCTGGTCAAAGTTTAAGGTCACAACACCCCATATAATTGGGGTTCGTAAAAGTGTCGGAAAGAGTTGGGCAGGATGTAATATTTAAGCCCATAAAGCTCATCTCGCCATGAATAAAAAACAAATCTACATCCAGACAGTTCACACGAACAGGAATGCGCTGTGCATATATTTTTTTATGGTAATCTTGCTCACATTACTATCATTTCTTTCCTAATAATCCAAATACCCCAACTCTTTGAATAAAGCCACTGTTCCTCTTCCACCAGCAGCAGATGTCCCATGCATCTGGAAATTTAATGAATTTTTTTGTGAAACTAAACGTATTGCTTCCTGTAATACAGATGACCATTTATTTAAAAAATGAAAGGAAGTTAAGGTATTTGAATTATTGAGACTCATATGAGGTTTCTGCTTTGCAATACTTCACCACACTCATTAATACAATTCGCCAAATATCCCAATGCAGGCCCATTTTTTGTATTAGTCTTGTGGCTCGGTGATGTTTTCATGGACAAAAAAGGGTATTAATATTTCTATTTATAAAAAGTGAACTACTTTGTGGTGACATAATTCATCAATTATACACGTAGAAAAACAGAACACGAACATGATGCATTGTGTCACTTACCATTAAGCCAGTGTGGATCAGACTGTTCTGTTCGGATTAGCGGTATCTCATTGTGATGATTTTTGTTTCCAAATATTCCCCAGTCTTTACCCATGAAGTCCGACACTGTTGCTGCATACAACTCCGTGCCTGCAAAGGTTCACATACATTCATGTTACCCATCAGCTTTATAAATACATTGCATGTATCTTATTTGAATTTTATCAATATATGGAAGGCTTGTGCGTTTTATTAACTCTGTGATCACTTTCACTAAACTATGAAATTACGTAATTATTGATGAGGTTTAATATTTAGAATTATTTCCATGGATGTGTGTCGATGAGCCTCTCGACCTGATTTTAAAAGCCACCAAACCGTTCGTAATACCATTTGTCTTTTGGATATCACTTTAATGCAATTATCGTGAAATGTGTTTTTTTTTAATCAACGTATTTCTAGTTAGCAATGAGAGGGGCATAGGACTTTTCATAACAATTTGGTTACAGATTAAAGGCAAATTAAACAATGTTCATCTCATAGACTAGACATGTCAACGCAATATAACCTTACCATTAAATCTTCATGTGTTGGCTGTGCCTAGCATTTCTGTTCTGTTGCACTGCAGGCAAGTATGCAGGTAGTGTTTAAGTTGAATTTTGTTTTCCCTTTTCAACACTTACCAGCCATGACGGACGTTGTAGCTTGTGCAGGATCATAGGGACATTTTCCTCGGCCAGACTCAACACTGTGCCAGTTCAGCATAAATACAGGCTCCTGTTTTATGCAAAGACAAACAATAACAGAACTATGTCAACAATCCGAGCAACCAATTACACACTAACAGCATTAACAATACATCCTCTCCTCTGAAGAATGGCCATTGCCTGACAACTTGGCTGTTGGTTTATTGAAGTGAAATGTAACTAAATATTGGTCGGGAAAGCCAATAGGCTCTTGGAATACAATTTTTTGTTGTATTAATATGCGGAGAAACAGAACAGAGTTCTGCTTGCATATGCATTCGCCTATAAAGGATCGCATAACGAGTTTGGGTACAACGTAGGTTTGGGTTTAATTAGAAGTCACTGCAAACGATGGCAAGGGTTAACTCTTGGGCTGGCAAGGGTTAACCCTTAAAAAAAAATCAATCACGTTACCTTTACCCTGAAGCCCATTTCCAGGAAGGCACAAGTCGGGTGGAAAGCCCCGGTCCCACAGACATACACGTGGCTCTGGTTGTACGAGTGCAGAACCCGGATGAAGTTTGCACAGTCGGCCTGTCATGAAGATGTCAAATGGGAATCGGCATTAGGAATTCAGGCCATGTCAGACTTGCCAAACTTTACAGATTTAACCGATATTCTAAAACCCTTTCACCGATGAATACCGATCTTGATGGCGAGTCACAACACAAAATTAATTGTGAAAGAAATACACAATTTGACACAATTTTACTTAAAAAAAATTGTTTATGCGCTAAAAGGGTTTACAAATCGCCAGCCCACCGCTTTAATTCGTTGGGTTGTCAAAGTGCACAATGTTGGAATGAGAAAAACAATATGCAGCTGCATGCCATGAAAGCAAATGTTACGAATATTTTGTCCAGTCATTAAAATAATAAACCCCCGAGTTTTCTCATGAGAGACGATTGGTCCCTTGTTTCCTTCTGATTGTCTACGTGGCTTAACATACAGTTTGATTACTAACAACATAGAATTATTTTGAATGTAATAGGTATGTCTCATTGGATTTACTTGTTTAACAAGATTACTTCTGTGTGCGCCTTTAACAAAAATAGCATAAACGTTTCGACGTGTTCAGCAGCCCGTCACATGTACTACTCACTTGTTCACTTTTTCCTGCCAGCAAGCATCTCTTCATCTGGTCCCTGTTGGGATTCCACACCAACTACAGAAAATATCACAAAAATACAAACCCACGGGACACCATGCTGAATTACACGTAGCACAATCCGAAACTACATTGGAGAGCTATACAGCACAACTGTGAAAACCTATGCAGGATTACAAAAAAAGTGGGGATATGTGCATCATGGGACAAAAGGTTTTTTGTTAATATATTTGCTAAAGTAAATTGTGATTTTAATCACTTTACGTGTGGGGTACAGCTATTGGTGCCCAGTTCCGGTATGAATACCAAGCAGCACTGATGGTAGCTGTGGTCAGGAATCGAACTCAAGTCAACGGATGAATGCCTTTGTTAACGTTAACTAAATACATCAATGCCCCAGTGCCCACTTAACATATGGCACCAAGCATTTGCATGTGAAAGGATAGCATTGCACGTGTGCCCTACGGGAAAACCAGACGTCAAGTCGTCAAGTGGACCACACGCGAGTTGGTGCATCTCCCATCTGGGTTTGAATGAACCCCCTTCCTTCAGCTGTCATCGAGTTGACTCGTGACGTTCTCTACCCGGGCCACCCTCACAAACACAATTGCGTCAATGGACACATTTGCTGTGCTTTTACATTTATATTTATACGCGGCGTTAGGTTCTTGCGGTCCCCTCGCACCTTCCTCGGCTGGTGGTTGAGGTCGTCAAGATTGAGCAAGAAGACAGCGTTCTTGGCGCCGACGAGCAGCCGTCCGCGCTCTTCATCCAGGAGGAGCGTCTGGAAGTCGGCGCTCTCGTGGGAGCCCAGGAACAGCGCGGAGCTGTTGGACAGGAGCAGCTCTGCAGCGGCAAGATGCGCAGCGATCGTTAGGGGGACCAGCAAATGCCGAGGCGACCTGGTAGGCAGGAGGTCGGAGGTGCTGCGATGGCACACCGCTGTGATCCTGGCTCTGAATCCCTTTTGATTTAAACAGCCTTTTCAAGTGTTCAGAGTCGATGTTACACGTACGGTATGCACGCGTGATGAACTCCTTTCGCGCCGGGCGCAGCCAACCGTGCTCACTGGAGGTAAGGGATCCAATCGGCCCGGTCGGCAATGACCGCACACGCACAACCGAAATGCGTCTTCACTTGATTTGGTTAAATGATAGCTCCTGAGCATTAGATATCAGTTTGACTGTCATGTAATGAACATTACTCGCATATGCAGGGGGGGGGGGGGGCAGAGTCCAGCCCCTTATGTTTGGACTAGAGGTCATTTGAAGGTATCCCAGAGGTAGCTCCACGTGATATACGCTGTTCATTAACATGAAGAGTTGCACTGATTTGAGAGCAATCTGGACGGATGACGCTAGCGGCACAATTTGGATACAATTTGGCGAAACATCTGAAAAGAAATACACTAAGTGATGAGCACGCCACACACATACGTTCGCGACGACTCGCAAAGTCAGTGTGCCCACTTCCCAAAGCCCCCCCCCCCCCCCCCCCCCCCTTGTCCATGCCGTCATTCCGCTGGGCCTCTGAGTTTGGTGTTTTCAGCTGCTCGAATGCTGTTATTCTTTGCCATGTTGGACAATGTATTCAGCTGGCAATCAACAAGGCCCCATTATAAGCAAGGCGCGTGTAGATTGCTGCAAGGTGCGTCGGTATGAAACAGGGGTGGGGAACGTCCGGCCCGTGGGCCGTATGATGCCCGCAAAATCATTTGGTGTGGCCCTGCCAAGGCAACCGCAGGCGGGACTCGAAATTCAACAAATCTAGGTAGCAAACCTGGAAAAGCAGTTGCGAGTAGCATTATCATCAATACCAGCTAACATCATCACACGCCTCACCAAAGAAAAGCAGTTCCAGCCATCACATTAGGGGTGAGTTAATTAAATGTTTGACAAAATATCACAGGCTATTTTTTTAAGTTGATCATTTTGTATGGCCCGCAAATGATGTTATAAATATCCAAATGGCCCTTGGCAGAAAAAATGTTCCCCCGCACCCTGGATAAAAGAACGGACCAATGCGGTTGAGCATAAACGCAGAGTTATCCCCCCCATGCGAGATGCGTATTCGTCTCGTACCACGCGGTGTCAACGTGGAAGCTTCTCTCTACGTGCAGCGCGCTTCTGCAGAATCTGAATGCGCAGCAAGCATTTGGTTCTCGCCTCGTTACGTTTTGGTTTGCTGATTGTTTACCCAACGGCCAAGATACTCGGCCGCTCAATGTCGAGGGCACTTCGAACCTGTCCCTTGCACGTACGTCATGAGTTAAACGAAAACATGTTGCTCCTCATTGTCAAACACAATTACTAGCGTCGCTTTCTTACGTTGCCCGCAAGTGTTTTAATTTAATAATGTGCAATTTAAACCAAATGCCATACACTTGGCCTCTTCATTGAGGATTACATGCAAACATAATGAAGGTAAATTGTGGGTCACGATTGTGGTATTTCACACGGACAAGTAGTATCGCTTCATCCGCTGACGATCACCCACAGAATCTTTGCCTTGGGCACGCTATTAAGTTCACGTTCAAGGAAAGGCATTCTGCGAGTAAAAACTTGATTGAAAGCTTTCGTGACTGCAGGAATTACTCTTTGGTTCTTTCGGTAAAGTCACGTAGAAAGAAAATAAATTAAGTAATAGAATAGGACGTTTCGATTGCAACACAAGCAACCGTCATCAGGTAGAACTACATTTGAGAGAGAGACGAAACACAGACACGGAGACACACAGACAGACACACAAGCAGAGAGAGACAACACAGAGCCACACAGAGAGAGAGACACAACACAGACACACAGCGACCCAATGCCTCTGTGTCGAGTAATCTGCGAGTAATTAACACTCCACGATGGCAAGATCACGGTCACAGAGAAAGGTTGACGCCGCTCGTAGTCATGTTAAATTGATAAGAAATTATCAGCCTCCGCCTATTCTCTCTCGTGGTCCGTCGTGTCTCTTTGAGATATGTCAGCTGTTCGCCTCGGCGAGATGGCGTCCTTCAGTGCCCATCACTCGCAACGATCGTCTGCTCTCAGCGAACTGAAAACGACTGCAATTCAAGCACCGTTTGTACAATCATTGCTTGGCTTGTCCTGAACTCATTCGGTCTTTTTTTCTTAAATATTGTCTCCATACTCTTTGGTTTTTTTCGGTAAAGTCACGTAGGTATAAAATAAAATAAATCACGAAGTTTCGGGCGCAACACAAGCGTCCATCATCAGGTGTGAACGCGTTAAAGGTTTTTCCCTTTGTTGGCTGGATTTAATTGTGTGTATATGTTAATGTAATCTGTCTTGGCTATCTCGGTTATTGGATATCGCAGGTATTGGAATACTAAGTCTCGATTTCAGTTCACCTCTTGATAATCGCTGTCAGTGTCAGGAACAGCATTAAATGGAGATAAAATGTAAGCCTGTAACAACAAATAATGATTTTGGGACTATTGGCTGGTCCACCCTGATTTTTTCAATTAACTTTTTTTTTCAATTAACTTTTTTATTTGAATTCAGTATAAACAAAAATTCTACAGCATTCCTGTTTCCCCATGGGATTGTGCTTAGTTGTGTGGTGTAAAATAATGTTAGTCTTCAATCGGTTCATGGCAAAATATTTGCACTTGTGGCATGCTCTAGGTTCTAGAACACCGCTGCCACTGTGTTTGGCCGGGCTGATTCTGGCTGCAAAATGACACGTGCATCATGACTTCTTCTCGCCGAGCTATAATGTAAAACAGCTAGATCCCGACAGAATTAGCAATACAAACCTGCTGTTCTATTTCTTTTCTTATTTAATACACTTATCAGACTGGAATTAACGTGAATAATCCAATTGCGGTTGGATTTGCCAAGTGTTAAACCTGCCAAATTAGGTATGGGTGTGTGGCCACATTAGCAAACGGTTTATTATTTCCATCCATCTACAACTTTGAAGTTGTTTTGACAATTCACTTTTTTTGTGTGCTGAGGTTGGTCTTATTAATCAGATTAAACGAATTTTCATAAAACTAAATATTTACACCGTGCATGCTAAGACATGGATACATTCAAATTAACTGCAGAGTGTCAAGCGTACAAGCAACACTACATTATGAATTGTCCCCATATTGAATAGACTCTTTGTTTAATATGGTAACACTATTAAGTATAATAACAATGGCAATTAATCATCTAGAAATGTTTCAACGAGTGACAATAATGTGCCAAGAGAGTCCTGCATTGGGGTGCTTAGCCAATATCATGAATAAGAGTGAATATGGGAAAGTAAATCAGAGTGCGCAGGAAAAAACAATTCCTGTGTAATGAAGAGGATCGCTCAACACTTAAATCTATCATGAGTGGTGTGTGTCTGCAGTGCACTTTTATCTGGAGCTGCATGTGGCATAGCTCTATTTTGTCATGCAGAACGACCCCCTACCTCCTCGCAGTGCCGGACAGGCAACTCTGTCGTGGACAGTGCTGTGGGGGGAGGGCCAATTCCGATTGGCTCCTCCCCTCATGGTGTCTGTGACCAGCACAGTGGCTAAACGGGGGCTCTGGACGGGTGCGAGAGGCTGGTAACCCCTCCACCTTCAAAAATTTTACACTAAACCACGACTGAAATATGTAACTAATAAGCTTGTGCCGGAGGCCCCGGGGGGAGAGACGTCTATGACGTCTCCTGGCCAAACCCCAATTGGCGGAGCCAGGAGATTGAATCTCTACCCTCGGGGCTCCTCTAGAAACAACGGAAAGCCACTTCGTGTGGCCACGTGGAATGTTCGAACGCTCACTGCGGAGGAGAGGCTGCCACTCATCTGTCGGGAGCTGGACCGGTACTGCCTGGATCTCTGTGGCATTCAGGAGGTCCGGTGGACCGGTTCTTGCTCCTGCCACCATGAGGGGTGAACAGTCCTCTACTCGGGGCAGCAGACTGCCAAACAACAGGGTGTGGCTTTTCTTTTGAACAAAAGAATGAAGGGGGCGTGGGAGCGTGGCGGTGAGGTGTGGGAAGCTGTAAGCCCCAGGCTACTTTGGGCTCGCCTTCCCATCAACCGGCAGCGAGGAGTGGTGGTCGTGGTTATTTATGCCCCCACCGAAGAAGAACATCCATGGAGGGATGCAGGCAAAGCCGATGAGTCAGATGCCTTTTATGACCTCCTGTCACAGGTGCTGGCTAAAGTGGCCCCTCGAGATAGAGTCATCTTGTTGGGTGACTTCAATGCCCGAGTTGGTCATGATGCTGGCACCTGGTCTGAAGTGATTGGAGGGCATGGGCTAGATCAGCTCAATAACAACGGTAGGAGGCTGCTAGATTTCTGTGCAGCCCATGGGCTTGTAATTACCAACACGCTGTTCCAGCATCGGCGCATCCACACAACATCATGGATGCATGCCGGGTCCAAGCAAGAACATCTGCTGGACTACATAGTGACGGACCAGCGGATGCGAGCCCATGTCCTTGACACCAGGACCTACCGTGGAGCTGATCTGCCCTCTGACCATCGACTAGTTATCTGTAAGATGCGCTTGCCATTCTTCCACTCCGGTGGTGGGTGTACACCCAGGACCCCATTCCAACCTAAAGTGGCCTGGTCTCAGTTATCTGATGAAAGTTGCAAGCGAGAATTTCATCATTGCTTGCGGCTGGAGTTGGCATCGTCCCCCATTCCTCCTGATGTCGAGGGTAAATAGGCGAGGTTTAGGACTGTGACTCATGCAGCTGCAATGGCTGCTTTGGGTACGTGGTCCAGACCCCCCCAGAGACCCTGGCTGACAGAGGAGGTGTTCAGGATGGTTGAGAAAAAGCGACAGGTCCACTGTCATCGGCTACAGAATCCCACGTTAGAGAATGAGGAGGCTTACCGCAGCCTTTGCTCGGAGGTTCAGAGAGCCGTGAGGCGCGTCAAGGATGGGTGGTGGTCGCGGGTTGCTGAGGAGATGAAGTCTGCCTCAGTGGCCCGCGATCACAAATCTCTATTTAACTCCATCAAAAAAGTAACCTGCAGCGCCACACCTATTACCATCATTAGGGGGAAAAACGGTGAGCCAATCTCCGACCCCCAGGAACAGGTTTGCAGATTTGCTGAGCATTTCTGTGAGGTCCTGGGGGAGGGGAAATCCCTCAGCCAGGAAAACATTGTGGCACAAAGTGGGGATGACCCTGCTGAGGCTGCAGTGCCTCAAATATTTGAAGAAGTCACCCCCTGTGAGTGGCTGGCTGAGGTGCCATCTGTTGAGGAAGTACTGAAGGTGATCCGGAGTCTGAGACCAGGAAAGGCACCGGGTAGAGATGATCTCCCAAGCGAAATGCTGAGGGTGGCGTTTCTGCACAGACTGCCCTATATGACATCATAACAACAGTCTGGACCACTGGACGGGTTCCGCAGGATTGAAAGGATGCCCTGGTGGCCCCCCTCTTTAAGAAGGGGGACCGCACAGACTGTAACAACTACAGGGGCATCTCACTCCTCAGTGTGCCGGGAACGGTCCTGGCAAGGATTATTCAACATCGCCTTGCCAGGCACGCTGAGGAGAGGCTTGCGGAGCCCCAATGCGGTTTCAGGAAAGGGCGGTCCTGCACAGATGCCATATTTTCTGTCCGTCTGCTACAGCAGAGGTGTAGGGAATTCCAACAAGACCTACAGCTCTGCTTTATTTACCTGGTCAAGGCCTATGATACCATCAGTAGGCTTGGGCTCTGGGTTGTTCTTTGTGCTTTTGGAGTCCCTGACCCTCTGCTCACGATCATTAAAGACCTTCATGATGGTGAGCGGGCCTGGATAAAACTACATGGCCGGGAGTCAGAGCCATTCCCTGTACACCTTGGGGAGCGACAGGGATGTCCTTTGGCTCCCACATTATTTAACAACTATTTTTACCACGTAGTTCGTGAAGCCTTCAATAGCTGTACCGGGGGAATCTCCATTTGGTACAGATATAATGGGAGGCTGATCGATGCCCGGGTGCGGTCAAGGGATGGCTCACTATTGCTCAACCACGTTATGTATGCCGATGATTTGGTAATAGCTGTTCATTCAGAGGAGGAGTTGGAGATGCTGCTGCTGAAACTGGAGCGTGCCACTAAGGGATGGGGCCTTACCATCAGCCCCACCAAAACTAAGCACCTGCCTGGGTATTTTGTATCATCGGACATTCCACCCCCACAACTCCCAATCGGTGATGGGGCAGTTGTGGAGAGAGTGGAGAGTTTCCCATACCTGGGCAGTGTGCTTATGACCGGCTCCAGTTTAACAGCAGAGATCTCACTCCGAATCAGTCGAGAGGCAATATCTTTTCATCGGTTGTATAACGCTGTGTGGAAGCTACCTGGTCTGTTGCTCCGCACTAAGCTTCAGGTCTTCTCGGCCACGGTCATTCCCTCCCTTCTATACGCTTGCGAAACGTGGACCCCCCTAATAGAACATCTTCACCGATTCGAAACATTTAGGCTAGCCTGCCTATGATCCATCCTGGGTTGAACCAGGCTGGATTGTGTGAGGAGCTCACAAATCTTTGAAAGATCTGGGCACGGTCCCATCGGTGAGCTCCTCCGGGAGGCAAGGCTGCATTGGCTGGGTCATGTAGCCCACATGCCCAGCCACCGCATGCCGAAACAGATTTTGTTCGGCCGGATCGAGGGGGCTAAATGGGCGCGGCACCGGCTAGAGAAGAGATGGAGTGATGTGGTACAAGAGGACGTGAAGCTGAGTGGACTTGCCGATGACTGGTACCAGCGGTGTCAAGATCGGGCTCTGTGGAGGAGGCTCGTGAAGGACGCTGCTACTGGGCAGTTGGAGGCAGTCGCCATCCAACAACAATGGAGGGCGGAGAAACGACGCTCACAACAATGAGTGGAGCGCCGGGTGGCTAAAGCACAGCAGGTTGGCACAGTAGGAGGCACAGGTGGTGCATCAGCCAGTCATCTCAGTCATCTTAGTCAGTCGACCCGTGGCACTTGGGTCTGCCCCGTGACCTCCTGCCAGCGGCGTTCGACTCTTCACGTGGCCTCAAGGTGCACATGGCCTGGCACAAGCGTCATGGTGACGTCACCGCCACTTAGTGGCGAATGGCGGTTGTTGTTGTTGTTTTGTCATGCTAAGTTAAAGCAGAAATGTATTCTCTAACTTATGTTCACTGTAATATACTGTGTGTGTATATATAGCTTCTCATAATCAGAGTAATATATCTGTGCATTCAAAATGCTAGTGTGTGTTCGGGGAGCGGGAAGTGTTTGAAAATTGATGTGTCAATCTTGCAAGGAATTATTTCTTGCATAAACTTCATCCTGTCAGCGGATTAGACTGCCTATGTGGAATGAGAAGGTAAATGCATTACATAAATCATTCTCCAGCACTTGAGGTAAAGTATTTGGCTCTGTTAAGCTTTGAAATAATTTACATCAACGGAGCTCATACAAAAACGCATGCAAATCTATATTAAACTATATACTTCAAAAACTTAATCCAATACATCTTTTATCTTTAAATAATTTCTGCTGCAAATTGTATTTTGTAAAAGCAAATATAATGTCTGCTATGCAGAAGTATTCAATCTTTTTTTATTTTAAAGCACTGATTACTTAACCACATTTTTTTCATAAGAACAATCATGTGTGGTGTTGTGGTAATTTCCAAATGGTGAATGAAGGATTATACCTGTCATTCTGTCAAACTAATTTTCAATAATAATGGGAAATATATTCATACTTTCCCTCCAACAATAACGTTGTGAGGAACATATAGCAACACGTAATTAAAAAAGATTGAGTTGTTACATGTTTTTTTAAACTCATTAATATAAGTTGTTGCAAACGAAAACAAAATCTTATGGGGATAAAACAAACAAGAGTTTAACCTTGCTGCTTAAACAGTGTAATGTTATCCTAATAAAAAAATTCTAAGGAAGCAAAATTTCACCTCAATTTATGCGCGCCCCTGTTAAAACAGTACGGCTTCGAGCCCACGCCCGATGTGCCCTGCACGTTAGATTCCTGTCCACCTTTGTCTCTCTTCAAGCTGGTCACATCCCACGTTAGCTATGCAGTAACTGCCCCAGCAAAATGGAAAAAAATGTCCAGCAACAGACACATTTTGAGCTTGTGCCATGGACAGAGATCAAAGCGGGGGGGATAGTTTTCAGAAATGTTTGAGGGCACAGGTGGGGTTTTTGTTGTTGTTGTTGTTGCTGTTACAAGCAAAAACACATTTTTCTTTTAACGTCGCTCAACGGTGTAGCTGAATTTGATGAACAAAAAAAAATAAGAATTGGTAATCGTCGAGCCGATGTAAACAATTTCTCAACCAGGTTTTCGAACGGCGCGAAGCGGTATTGGGCTTTTGAGCACCATCTTCGTCGGCGTACCTCGGTAGGAGAGCTTCAGGCGGGGTAGAGTCTGTCGCCAGGTGTGACCGGGAGCAGGGAATTGCAAATAGACGAGCAGGGTGACGAGGACGACGGTGGTGGTGGTGGGTGCCCTGGTGGTGGTGGGTGCCCTTCCAAAGGACCGTGCTCCGACGGGGAGGTACCCTCTGCCTGTGCGTCTCATGGCTCCGCTTGCTCACCGCCCGCACACCAAGCTGACCCAGAGTGTCGGTGAATATGCAAAAGAACAGCAGGATAAATACTTTAGTAGTGTATACAGAGGACATACATCGTTGTATCGGCACGAATATACATTGAATGAATGGATGTGCGTGCGTTAGACTTTGTTTGTGTGTAATATATAATGCATATAGGAATTTAAAAAAAAACTGTTTTCAAATGAGCATTGAGGCAGTGCTCAGCGTCTGTTTACAGCCCTGAGCCAGTGGTAAAAATTCACATTCCTCTGACGGGGGCGAGTCTGTCCATAGGATAACTGCTGGTAACTTCCCCTCAAAGTAGTACTCGTATAAGGAATGTTTATAATGACTTAATGTAAAAGACTGCAAACCTCTTTTAATTTTCTTTTTAACAGCCCAGAGCCAGGGGTGGATGTGTCCACTTATTTTGTGGTGGTGGTGAGTCCATCCACATTTACTTTAATTGACACTGGGGGGTTGAAGGGATGCTTTGTAAACAGAATGTAAGGGCATTTTGAGCATATCTGTTTCACACACTACATGTATTTGATTTTGGAAAATTTCAGTTAATGTGTGGTCCTATTATTATGTGGGTACAAAGTGCCGTTAGCTATGCATAGAAATGTGTATGTTCACATCAGTACATAGGTTGAATATGGTCCGCAGCCAAGAATAAGAACTGTCACTTTGAAATGCCAATTATGTTGATCTAGTAAATACCCCTTTTCAGGCCAAGCAATTGTTCAAAAGTTGGTATTTTTTATCCATGTTTTGTTTACGTTTACGTTAATTAAGTTCACTTCAATGCATTTTTAGAAAACATGCCAAAGGCTGTTTCAACAGAGAAATACTTTGAGGTTTTTTTTCTGTTTATTTTTTAAACATGCATGTGTGTGAACAATAAATCATCTGAGCCCACCGTTAACGCTTTTTAAACCCTTGGCTTTCAGATGTATAATCCGTGGTTGTGTTTTTATTGCACTTCAGTAGTTATATAAAAAAGCTCCATGCTGTCATTTTTTTTCTTACAATTAAACCGACAATTTATGTTGAAGATCACATACATATATATTTGTTATTGCAAGATACTTTTCAGAAAAATTAGGAAGCGAACAACAATTTTAATTCTGGCATGGATGTTCACTCCTTGCACCAGAAGATAATTGAATGATCTCCGGAAGAAATTTAAAGATCTTACATAATTTCTGTACATCCCAATTTATAAACAAAATGTGGCATGTTGTCGTTGAGCATACCAGCCCATCACAACAAATACATATCTATAGGAACAGGCTCTCCTTGCAGCACAATTACATTGACCTTGGAGCTAAGTGGAAACAGATCCCGGCACGCTGGGATGAAAGCTCATGAAACCTTACAATACAAAGAGGGACAATTTTTTTGGTTTTATATTCGTGGACCAAAGCTGGACTAACATCATTGTTTTGGAGCGAGCAGCTGCACTATAGCTGGGCTGTACAAACCCCCCCCCCCCCCGTTATTAATCCTGGCCAGACTCCCAAGCTGCCCAGCGAGCGGCAGTTGTTGTGGCCCTGGGCGTTTTCGTGCCGGTGGTTTTTTGCAAGCTTCGCCAAAAGGCAAACATTCAGTGGCTGAGCGGGCGGGCCCCACTCTCAACTGAAACATCAACCCACTGCTCTTCATCCCTCTCTCCATCTCTCTCTCTCCTTTCTCTGGACCGCCCTGGCTCAGCATCGTTGAGCGCTGCTCAGGATAAGTATGGATACATGACAGTGCCAACTGCTGTTTTACATATATATGCGGTATCGTGCGAGTCATTTTTAGTTTTCAGGCCTTTGTGAATCCACTGGTGGAAGGTCTCCCCCACATCGTATCGGTCAGAGTGGTTGTATGACCATACTTCACCACGCTGGTCAGTGTAGGTTGAAAAGAGGGCAGTGGAGTTCGGACTGTTGCTGAGATCACTCGCCACTGATGTTGGCTGTGGCCGGGAATCAAGGTGAGGCTGCTAGGTTCATATTACAGTGTACAAACCACTGTGCCACTGCTCCACCCAGGTATAATTTTATGATGTATTTTTTCTATTATATACATGAAATAAACTATGTATATTGCCATCACTAAATGTGTTTTATTACACCTTTGTAAAATTAGTAGAGAGGATGAGTCAACGGTTGATATGCTACGATTTCAATACTCTGAAAGGGTATTTCGCATGAAACGTGACTGAGGATAACAATATTTTGCATGTAATGGATTACAAAATAGCAAAAAGTATGGGTGACCATGAAAGTGAAGCTTGCAACAAAAAGTTTGATTCCTAAAATCTGTAGCAGTGTACCTTATGCAAGGTAAGCCTTTCGATAAAGTATCTGAAAAAGGCGGTATATTGAAGGGTATACACATCGTAAGCCCAGTACGTGTATTCATTGTGAAAAACAAAAGCAAAGAACATAATTTTAATTTTTCTATATCGACTGATAACTTAGACAAAAATATACTGTTTGGATAACGTTCAATAGCAGATTCCATTGCCCAGGTGTCATGGAAATATGAATCCACAGTTTCCCAATGGTAAACTTCAACCCAATGGTAAACACAGACTCTCAGACTGGCAGTGTTAACTTTTGACTATACTTTTCTCTCCTCAACATCCCTCTGCCACTTAATGCTCTGCACCCCCTAAATAATGAAAACATAAAAATATATACTCTTATTTATTTATATGGGCTTCTGAACATCAATTGTTCCATACACATGAGGTAAATATGATTAAAACAAAACTCATGACCAACAAGTTGTCTAAAAAATGCAGACAATTGTTTGAGGAACAAAACTGGAAAATGTATCCAGGAATACTTTGAGAAATGTTTTAAGAGGGACTGGAATCCAGGTGGAAAAAAGAGGCAAAGCAAAAGCAGGTTGAAGTGCTTTTGTAAAACTGAACTTGATGAAATTTTTTTTTTACATCCCATTATGCCTGTGAAGATTTTTGTTTTGTTTATAACATTGTATATTGTCTGCTATGATGTGGATTAGAAACATGGATAAAGATGAAGATTTTTGAAAAAATGAAGCTGAAAACGATGCAAATAACCCTGGGAAGATGCGTGATTGGAATCAAACGCATGGATTGGAGGACATCTGTACTCGTCGCAATACTCTGAATGGCTATATGGAGATTCTTTGTCGGTGTACGCATGTGTGTGTGTGTGTGAGAGCAAATCTGTAGCAGACAAATGGCCTTTTGGGGGACTTAAACCATTAACCTTAATTAACTTTTTTTCTAGTCATTACCAAGTTGAGTTTTAAATGAGAACATGATTAAAATGCTCTTAGTTCATCACTCTAATCCAAAAATGGTACATTTCATTTTTATTTTATGAAACACCCTTTTGTGGTTTTGTAGATTTTAAAATATGCCCCATTCAGGCTCCCCTCTTGTGGTGTTCCCAGCTTAAAAAGTAATGCTCATGGCACATCTTGCTCATTGGTCATTCTCACTCTCCAGACCACCCATGTGCTCTCTGATAGAGGTCATTGTCATTGTTGCAAACTGCTTGCTTTTTTTTTTACATTTAAAGCGGTGAAGGGACGACGTGACCTTCAGACCCAGACTAGCGAGTCTCAAGCCTGTTCCTGAGCCAAACCGATAAAAAGTGCCCCCATATGGGGAATATCGGTATGTAAGTGCAAGCAAGTTGACGTATAAAATACAGCTGAGCCCGGCTGAAAATGCGGTGAACCTTACCGCTGAGGTTAGCATAAACGTCCCATAGATGTTGCACAAATTCAGTGAAAATGGGTCCCATATTATAACCATTTCCGATAACCCCCCTGTGATACAAAAAAAAAAACAAAAATGTGGAAATGGGTTGAGAAAAGTGACATTCAAATGGCTGGTGTGTATGGCACTTCGTATCGTATGTTTGTAGCTAAATTATATCGTGATTTCCCTTTATGTGATCTAACTGCACAGTGAAAAAACTTGCCTGGAGTCATCCTGGTTTAAATCCTCCTCGATGCAAAGCAAACATTGGGTACCATGGCACGCAGTCATGTGGGTTTGCCTGCACATAATGTCAGCTTTGTTAGTCATCTTTTCAAAATAAATTTATCAAGAATTATACCGTGCTTTCCCCTTCTTGGAATATATGTATATATATTTCTGTATTTTATTTTGAAAGTATTTATTTACTGAAATCTGATACTGGGGTATTTGGGTATTTAGTATAGGACCAGTTCCAACTTATACATGGTGGAGTGTTTTTCTGGCATTCATGTTTGTTTGTGTGTGTGTGTAACATCCACTTTATAATACAGTGAGTATTATATTTTTTTATATACTGACACTGAACTATTTTTTTATGTATATATTCAATGATATTGATTTTACGATATAAACACATTCCATTTTCTCCTTAAATTTTTGGGAGAAATGTAATGGACTTGTTTGAATTATCTTCTTTTTCCCCCAATCCAAAAGGCCCACTTTCATATCCTGGCTTCGTAACTTAGGATCAATCCTCTGTACGTTGCCTAACCCTGACAGAGGGGATTATGTAAATATAACTTTAAAAGTGGTGACGATTGATGCTGTTACTGGCGCGATAGGGTGGCACCAAAAAAACTCTATTCCGAATTCAATAGTTGCACAATATTATTATTATGATGCAAGTTATTCGCAAAACTGAGTCTCATTATTTTTTTATTCGGATCCTGGAAAGTTTTCGCAGCAGGGGCAGGTGGTGAGGATGATTCCTATGTATCAATTAATCCGCGAGTAATACAAAAAAAATGCGATAAACTTCTGGACCATGACGCTGACACACAATGGCCTCCTCTTGCGAATGACGGCACCTGATCTTTAACACCGCAGTAATGATCAGGGCGGCCGTTGGATTTGAACAGTGATCCTCTAGGAACGAGCAGTTAACGTGCTACCGCTGAGCCACGCGCGGCCCAAGTAACCATGTGCTTGAGGTGACAAAAAAACAATTACATGCGTACGATTCTGACCGCCCAGCAATAATTCGTCTTCTCGTTCCGAGCCACAAAACCAAGTGTGTACCCTCAGCAGCGCTGACCACAATTTCTCTTTTTAACGACTTAGCACTATGGTGTCCGTCATTTTTAGCCCGAGATTGAGGCTTTTCAACAAGTAGATTTTTTTTCACGCAGTGTTGGCACACGGCACTGATGCCTGACGCTGGGGTGGTTGAAGAATTCCAGATGTGGAATTTGTGGGATTGGCATGATTTGCCATCGCCATGGTTGATGCGGGTGCACCGAATGCTTCACATTCCCGGCTCATCTGTCAACCGCTGCCATTTGTTCGTAATTCAAACGGTGCCAGCATGTGCCTCAATCAAGAGAGGATGCTGTCACAATAACACATGGTTTGAATTGTTGTAAAATTCTATGTTAAGTTACAATGGGCATACACTGTCTTATCTGAATGAGGTTTAATTTGCATAACGGTCCATATAATTGAAGCGCGAATCAAAAAAAGCATGTAAAAGGGGATATATAGAGTAAGTTGTAAAATGAAATTTAGCTCCCCAGTCAACATTCAGTAATCTTTTCAAAGCATTTGTAAAACAAATCAGTGGACTTTCAAACTCCATAATTGCTGAGGATAATAATACCGCAAAATAGATAATGATGGTACATTAATATTGATACATCGGAATCATTAAAAGTTATAATTAGGTTACTTCCGCTGAAGCGTTTTCTAAACATTACAATTCCAGAGAGAGAAAAATACTTAAATATTAACCAGCAAGCTGAATAATTGAAACAAATCAACGCTTAAAAATGTGAAGGGGTCTGCTGAAAATGTAGGGCTGTATATTTGTTCAAGCTTTAGGCAGTAGAGCTGTGGTTATTGGTCAAATTAAAACCATTAACATGATCTCATTGACACTGAGCAGCGTGCTAGTTATATCAAGCATGTGGAGGTCACCAGTTACCTCAATATTCATTCTTGCACTTTGCTGCATGATTTTGATTTCTTGAATGGTTGTAATAAAACCCTTTAACTGAGGAAACAGACTGAGTTGTGGAAGTGTGAATTCTTAAGGGTGTTATTATATGGGGCGTAAAGCCAAGTTTGGGAACTAAAGTGGCCACTATGAACATGCTCAGATGCTCAGTCATCCTTTATGCATTCACTGAGACTAAATAAACGCTCAAAGCCTCCAAGACACATTGCTGTAATGTGATGATACATTATAATATAGAGAATTCAGCAGTTCATTAGAGGTTTGCCCTTTCAAAATATATGTGCATGTGTTGTATGTTTAAGCTGTGGAAAAGTTTATTCTGATACTGGAACACCTGTCTTCTTACATAGGTGTTGTCTTTAATTTATCTTTAATGGACAGGGTGACTGGCTTGTCAACCCCTACTGCGTCATGCAGATTGACATACAGTCCTACTTACATTTGAAGGCTACTTTAGCACAACTGGGTTTGTGGTTGACACATTTTAGTCCATGCACATGCTGATGGACCAATCACCTGAAACGCACCGTGCCTCGTCCGATTTTGGAAGAGGGGAGTGCAGAATTTATTTACTTTTATTGACTTATTTATCTAGGAAAGCCACATCTAATCCAATTACTATTTTTTCAGGAAGGTTCTGCATTGGGTTTTAATTTTAAGATGTTTTCAGCTAATTAATGTGTTTACACAACAAGTGGGAGGACACTGGAACACTCGGAGAAAACCCACACATGCGAGAGGGGGCAACACTTTATTCCCGTGCAGATGGAAACGGATGGCGATTAGTCCATTTGTCGGTCTGCCTTCTGCTGGCGAGCCAGGGTATGGCACCTCGATGCCCATGGTAAGGGAGTTTCACAACATCTGTGCTATCCACAAACCCTTGCTGCCTTCACAATGCTGGATTACAGGCCATGTGTATAGCTGCCGCTGCCCGGTTAAAACATTAAACAATTGATGTACTGGATTTATGTGTTCCCATATCTGTGCTTTCAACATTCATCAATGTGCACTGACCAGCATGGTGAAGTATGGTCAAATAACCCCCATAGCACTGATGGTGTGGCGAGGCCTTCATCCAGCAGTAGATTGATAGGTCCATGTGAACACATTCGAATTATGGACACGTTTTATATTTCCTACACGGCTGATTCACTGAATGTGAATTTAATCTAGAACTTAAGTTGAGCATAATTGTCACGGTGTGTTGTATGTCGCAAACTTTCCTTGTGGAAGAAACTAACTTTTAACTTGTATATGGTGGTAAGCATCTGATCAACCAAACCAAATACCGTTCAGTTACAACGTTGTGGATAGATTTTCGCAATGTGGCAAATAACAAACGACGTTGAGTTTCGACATATATATATGGCAATTGTGGAATGTTATGATGATCAACTTTAAGTTTTTAAATTTGTATACGTATTATCCAACGTGATACTTCAAGAAGTTTAGTGCAAATACTAATACTCTGCAGTAGCCCTAAAAACGAATTAAAAGCAATAAAACATTAAACGTTCACACATTCGATGAGATTGTATATATATCGATCTGCTTTCAGTCACCAAAAAATATTATTTGCAGTACATCAAAAAGCAATACCGGAGAACTTACTTGACTTGAGAATTGTCACTGCAAGTGCCAGATGAGTCTTCGGTCTCTTCGGGTTTATTTAATCCGTTCGATTCCAACTTCTTACAGAATTTGCCTTCCAAAAATGTTCACGCGCACATGCTTGATTTAGTATTTTTTTTTTTGTCCGTACGTGGTTCACACACGTGCGTGTAGAGTAAAGCGGTGCTGGTGCTCCAGATGCCCGAACGCAGCAAGTTTGTACTTGGGAATTGAGAGGGCGTGTGGAGTGGGTCTGATTACCAGACCCCAGCAGTTGGTTTTGGACGTGAGTGAGAGAGAGAGAGAGGCGCGGGAGGGGGGTGCAGGACGACTAGAGGAAGAGGCAAGGGAGGTGAAGCCATGGGGTTGCGGTCCCTGGGTGGGGTGGGGCGACGCACAGAGAGGTTGGCCTCCCTGGGATTTGGTGGTGTGGCGCTTCTTTGCGGTTTGTTTTGCATTCTGTAACAGCAACGCCGCCGCAGCCAGAGGGCTTGGATGCTCAAACTAAACTCGTGTGGCGTTGTAACGCACGCGGACAAGTTGGCAAAAAGGCGTGCTCGTTGCTGAGAACCCAGACTTGTCCGCAAAGTGTGGTTGCAACAGCTGGGAGCGGCCAATGTAAATATATATATATGTTATAATATATAATAAATACAACCTCGGCGCTCGTAAACATTCAGAGAAGCAACAAGTGGGAACGTCTATTCAGAAATAATATAATAATGCTGTAAATGGATACATATATTAAAATACAAATCCCATGGATATTTTATTTGTAATGTTGTTATTTATACTGGACAACACAACAAGCTGCATCTTCTCCACTAATTAAACGTGTTCACTGTAAGGTACTGGTTACGGTTGTTCAAATGAATCTTGTTTTTTTTTTCCTGCAATCAAATCACCCGAAATGTACCCCGATTATATTCGACGTGGCATGGAGGCTGAGCAGGCTTAGGGCCTCGTTAGTACCACACTTGGATCGGTCACCACCGGGGCTGACCAGGGTGATATGGCTTCCAAAATAGTTTTTTTTGGGTTAGATCGTGTAAATATATAAGTGTGTTGTTAAAACCCGCCAGCACCCGACACAGCCAACTAGTAAGGGTTGTCACGTAAACAGAACGTGGCCAATTCGTGACTAGTACAGCACACCGGTGTGTTGGAGAGCCAAGCCACAACATTTACAATCTGAGTACGACGTTTCGCCTAGAATTACAACTAGCTTCATCAGGACGACAGCCAGATTTGTGGAGAAGTCTGTTTTGTTCCTTATATAGAGGCGTAGATGTGGTGACCACGCTTCTGCGCTATTGCACAAACCGGGCCGGGGGGGATTACTGAGTCAACGTACATGATGCATGCGCATTATGCGAGCCCTTTCATCTTGTCCTTCCTGTCCATTGTGTGTAATAAAATAGCCGTTCCAACGGTAATCCTTATTGAAGTATGCTGCCCCCTATAGGCATGCATGTAAATAATGTATTATTTGATTATTTACTCCACGCAGCACTAAGGTGGTAGCTATCCGAACGGTTAAAATAATTTTATTTCTTTCAATTTCGATAGATTCTATAATTGATCCTCAATAGTACAAAATGGCCGAGGCAATTAAATATTTTTTTTCTGAGACACTGTTTTTTTTTCCAGGGGTGTACTTCACTCCGCGACTGGGGGTACCAATCAATTCGAAATCAGTGCTACTCTGCGATGTCGAAACGCAGCGAGGACGATTACGCCAAAACCCTGAATGCTCGCGGTACGCACCGCAGTGGTGCATCGTGCACAGCTCGTCGAGATGAGTCGATTGCCGCATCGCCGACCATCAACAGACTAAAAGTGACTGCATCACGGACGTTATGCGAGTGCTGGGGTACTATGGTACCCCGGAGTACCGCCATAAGGTTAAATTAGTCTTGGGCCAGTAGAAGCTAGTTTTGCACAGAACTTCAAAATTATCAAAATCAATTGATTGTTGGCACGCATGTTCTGCTACTGCTGACAGTTGTATTTGGGAGAATTTGATATGTATTTGATGTTTTTTTAGTCTCGTGCTTATAATTCGTCCTGTTTGCCCAACATAAAATTTCCCACACGTGCAGTTAATCCTGTAAACACCTTCTTTTGATAGCTTCTTTTGATAGCTTCGTTAATACATCTTTTGTACCAGATACTAATTTCTGTATTTTATGTATCATGCCAAATCTGACTCGGATGTTTTGTTTTTCCAAACATCTGGCTAGTTTATCAGCTACTTCCGCAATGTACGGAATTTTGATCGTTTTATTTACTTGGGCAGTTTGAATGCTCGTGTTATTTGATTTGGCTTTGGCATTCAATGCCCTGTTGATTTGTGCATCATTGTAACCGTTCAATTTGCAGCGCTACATTAACATGTTGAATTTCACTTCTCAGACTGTCACCATCTGCCACTTTCTTAGCTCGATGAATGAGCGTCTTGATAAGAGAGCAGATTTCTGCACGGGGTGATTCAGAGTCACACCATCACCCTGTGTTAAACTGATATTGCGAGTGGTGCCGTGCAGTGGAGGCAACTCAACATGGTTGCATCATCTCCCTCATGTTTTGTTTTGTCCGGTTACCCCAGTTTGCCCTCACATTCGGAATCTATGAATGCTATTGACTAAATACATGCAGGGGCTATACAAAATAAGTCATCACTCGCTGAGGTATTCCTTGGAAAAATGTTTAATATTTTTTTTATTAGAAATTCATATATCCTCTCTTTCACGATATCAGGCCAAGCATGGAGGAGTAGGCCAAATTACCGTAAGAAGAGGCTCTCTGGAGGTCCCTCTAGTGGAGGCCCTTCTGCCAGCAGTGGCGTCAGCAAACAATTGCAGAGCTGCACCTTTACCTGTTCACACGTCTGATATGTATTGTAAAAAAAAAGAACATGGGCCAATATTGAAAGTGTGAATTCTATTCATGCATTTGAAACGGCACAGGAGAGAGAGTGTTCATAATAATCTTGTCAGCCTCTCTCAACCTGCTCTAATCGCATTGACTTGCAAATGTGATGACTGTCAAGAAGAGCTGTGCCTTTAGATATATACGGTATGTACAATTATATTTGGGTTAGATTGTGGTGGGATTCCTGACTACTCTGGCCCAAACTGTTGGATATGGTAACCAACACTAGCGATGAAACCATTGGGGTGAATTGCAATTGCAATCTAGGCTTGCACATGTATGTGATAGCAGAGTACGTGTTTGAAACCTGAGTGTGAAGTGCTAATAGGCCATTAACGAACGCAGGTGAAAGACTTTGCCAGCCAAAGGGGCATGTTTTCGAAATCGCAGTTTTCGCTTTTAGAATGAAATCAATGCAAAATTGATGCCTGATTTTTTGGAAAAGTATTCCAATTATATATCCATTCTAATGATCTTTATGTATGTATGTTGAACTTCTTTTGCACCACACGTGGCCAACCGTGTTGATCGGAGATTAATGATAATAAAGAGATAACATTTGGACAATGTATGGGGATGCAAATGAGTTAAATGATGACGTCACCCTGCTGCTCGTTTTAAGACCGGGAGCAAGCGAGGGCTTTACCATTCTGGCGAATTGCCCGATGATGCTGGATGTAATTACCAGCGAAACGTCGTATTCAAATTTTAAATGATGTTGATTCACTCTTCAACACACCGGTGGGCTAAAGTAGTGAACTATTTGTCCTTTGTAAACGTGACACATTTGTTTACTGTTTGGCCGTGTCGGGTGGTGGAGGGTTACGACACATTTATAAATAACGCGATCTAACCCAAAAACCTTTATTATGGGGGATGCAAATGTTACACCTTCACGAGGCAACTAACAATTCCTGATCTTTTACATATATTATTTTTGTTTTATTTCGAAATTCGGCGATAAGGCTGTTGACGTCATTTTTGTGAATCTCCACAGCCGAAATGAACGTCTTCTTAGTCAAAGCAAGGTCAGCGTCTCCCTGCTACAGCAAGTATGTGGCTCGACTGTATACTACGTGTCTAATTATTTTTTATTTCACTTTTAATTTGTTGAATTTTTTCCTTCCTGTCTGCCAATATAAAAAACCCGAAAACCTCTAAAAGTAAATGTCTTTTAAGTAGCCAATTGTCGTGTGCAGTATTTGCCCTACCTCGTTTTAAACCCCACACACACTTGTTGAATGAAGAGTAGAGCTTCTTGCCCTTTTCAACCTCCCAGACCGCACTGCAGGAAGGGAAAGCGCTTGAGCCAGGAAGGCTGGAGGTAAAACCCTGCAGGTTGAGATGAAAGTACACTCCTCTGCTTATACTCAGCCTCCCCGTCCAGAGATAATTCCTGATGTGTCAAGTTAAATTCCGGGTGAGCAGATGGCAGGATGGATCTTGAAAAGTGTGCGCTTAGAGCCGAAGCTAATCTACCAACAAAAAAGATAGAGTTTGGTATCGAAAAAAAACTATACAAAACAAATAAAGCATGGGTGTTACCCGAAAGAAAATGGATAATGCACTTCCCGAAAGTGTTAACTTTCCCCGAAGCTGAGCGGTTGAATGATTCGTAAATCGCCCACTTAAAAGATCGCTAATGTTGGAGTCTGGATTAAATGTGAAGACTGTTGCAGCCACATGTCTGCCCATGTGTGCAACCGCTCCATACTGCGAGAAGCTAATTGCACACAATTGCCTGAACGACAGTTAATGTCTTAATTGTGAACCCATTCTCTGGCAAAATAGTCAGACGCCCAAATTATCCAACCAGATAGCTCTGATGACCCGAAACGGCTCAGGCGGAACTACGTGCCAAACGGCGTTTTTTTTGCACCAGATGAGCGCACACACACAAAAAAAAACCGAAGGACAGAATGAGAAACAATAGCAGGTTGTTGCATGCACCAAACTAGGATTGCATTCCTGCAACAGGGTTTGGCAGGTTGACACTAACGCACTGCGATTAACCTAGAGGTGCACTGGTGCACTTGACTGATCAGGTGGCATTAAGGGGTGGGTTAAAACTGTCGGTCTTGTGGCGATCTTGGCGTGGCCGTATCAAAACAATGGGTGGGACGCGCATCACAGGGACAAACGCACCAAGGGACAGATAGCCGTTGCACCGCAAGCCAAAACATTAGCCAAATGTGTCTGTTTTGTAAAAGGCTATGACACTAACAATGTACATCGCGGGACTATTTTTTCTTCTCCTAATGGTTAAAAAAATAAATGACATCAGTGACATCAATGAGACGAAGTTCCCTTGTGTCCTGCAAAATGTGGGTGTTGCTCATTTCCGTTTGTGGTCCTGCGTCAGTGCTTGCGATTTCAATGTTTTGTTTAATATCCAGTCTCACCAGGACGCAACCACTTTTTGCTTCTTACCAAACTATGGAGCCTCACCAGGTGGTGCCCCTTTTTCCTGATCACAGAGAGACGCTCGGCTGAGTTGGACTTGGCTAAAACAACCTAGATTTGAACTCGACAACCTAGGATTCAGAGCCTAATTGTTTACTGAACAACCAAATTTGTTTTGGCCTTTGCAGGATCATATGCAATATGTTGCGCTCATCGCCTTAAACGGTATTTAATTTGATTTCA